ATCACCTCAGCCAGATGTCACAAGTGTGCCATGATTGGCTGTCTTGACAGAGACCCTTGCTTCTTCAGAGTATGTCCAAAATGTGTCACAGTTCGTGATGAGAGTAGAGGTAGCCCCAGAGTCGAGAATAGTGGAGAGAGCTTGTCCTGTGATATATGCTATGTCTTCTGCACTCATGGTTGGGACATCTGAGCTGATTTCTTCAATGGTTGCACAGGCAAGTTCTCGCTGTGGCTGTGAGGGAGTGCTCGTCTCAGTGGAAGAGGTAGGTTGCTGTGAGCCAGATTTTGAATCGGTTGCTGATGCTGCGACCTCTTTCTTAGCTTTACTACCTTTCTTTCCCCACGAGCCCTTAGATCCCTCAGCACCTCCACCAGGCTGAAGACAATGCTCTCAGTCATGTGTTAAAGAGCGAGGTAAGCCAACTCAGATGGGATTGTTGCATGGCACCCCCTTGGGGTTGTACTTATGCACTCTAATGCTGTTTGCAGGATTGGTTCTCGTGTCGATCCTGGAATGTGATCCACTAATAGTGTTTGCATACTCTGATCCCAGTTTAGCCATTTTCAGCTGACTTTGCTGATGATTGGCTTCCTCCGAAAAGGAGGTGGCTATGCTTTGGAAGGTGATTTTCAGTGGGACAGGAGGTGATGTTGTCATAGTAGTCGTTGAGGAGGATGTGCTGACTGTGGCTGAGAACATTCCGATGGTGAGTCCTCGAAATACTATCCATTGCAGCGACTTGGGTAATCTGTTGAGCAGCATGAATATGGCTTCCTTGTCTGTGAACACAACTCCCATTTCTGCAAAATGCCATCGACCATTCTCTAACACGCCAAGGTAATGAGGGGCATCCTCTGCATCCTTCAACTTCTCAGTGAACAGTTGCAAGCAAAGTTCAAACTGTGAAGTAATGTCAAGACGCAAGAAATGTTGCACCAGTATGTCCCATTGTTTGCATGCTGAAAGAGATTTGTCAAGCATATTTTGAACAACTGAGGAAAGCATGCGGCCGATGATGGCTTTAGCCTGTGCATCTTCCTTTATCCACTCTTTGATGCTCTTCCGTTCATCAGCTGTAGGCTGACTTGGAGTAGTGGTGACAGGAAGAGTACTCGCATACTCAGTTTATTCATTCGTATTCGTGCCCATGCTGCAGTGGTTCCACAAACCTTCACTGGCAAGTGCGAGTTTTACCGACCTGCGCCAACTCGAGTATGTGTCAGCGCCTGTCAACTCGATGATATGATCGAGCTTGCCCATAGTGACTAGATGTATGAGTTTGAGGATAATAGCAGTGAGCGTGTACGATTAATCCTAGTGAGCTTTAGATGAGTTCAAATATATTTGAGTTCTTTCTGTGTATTCTGAGTGTATGGCTCAGGGCTCATAACCTGGTGAGAACTAGAATGAGACAAGTCTCAGTGTGTGATCAAGGACAATGCTAAATATATTAATACCTAGAATGAGACGAGTCTAGGTACACATTAGCAAGATGTACAAAAGGTACGAATATGAGAGTACTCACCTCAGCATGTGATCAAGGACAACACTGAGGTGTTCCGCAAAAACAATGCTACTGATATATGAGTATGGAGGATCTGTGGCTGAGTGTTGAAGGTGAAACTGTACAGTATGTAGCGCATGATGCAAGGAGATAACAAGAAACATAGTGTGTGTAACATATGTGCCAAGATGAAGAAAGTCTGAATGAAGACATGTGATTGCCCAACAGGCCAAGATAAGGAATATCTGAATGAGGACGTACAAATGCAGACATACAATTGCCAATAGACGAGTCGTCTGGTCTATGTCAAATATCTTGTTCAGCTCATCACTTGCGACAGAATTTGGCCGTGATTCATGTTGACGAGATTATTTGTCCATGTCACCTCATACCCAAGATGGGTCAATCGGTCAATCCTACATGGACGAGTGTGAATGTGTATGAGTTGGCAAGTGATTTTTACTTAAATACATTCATTGACCTTGAAACTTTTTGTATGTCCACTACAAGTACTTACTATATTCATTTAGAATAGGTAGTGATGGACAGGTCTGGTTCAGTCCGGTTCTCTAGGAAATCCAGAGAACCATGGACTGGACCATCAGTTTGGTCCAATAATGGTCCAGTTCTGGTTCAGCAAGGGTTTGAACCAAGAACCGGACCCAAAAAATTGCTGTCTGCAAAGGAAGGGCTTCAGAGGGTGTGAATTGATTTAATGCACCCCAGATCTACATACCACATTAGCATCGTAAATGTAGACACCATCATGAAATGTCTGTGACAAACACACCTTTATCATGGCCATTTGTAACTCGTGTCTCATACCTGGTACACCGTCCTAGAGCCGATCCTCAACAGCTGTTGCCCCAACTTCTGGTGCCAGGGTGTCGTGTGGTGGTATGAATGCGTATCCTATAGCTAGTGATGGCCCTGGCTTGGCCCGACCTAAGCCGTGGCCTGAGCATGCAAACAGGTAGGCAAATGACTTAATGATTTATGAGTAGATAAAACAATAAGATGATAACAGTGCGCGATGAGCCACATACCTGAACCTCCAATATCATATCCTGCCATTCGCAGACTTCATCATCGCAACTCGTGAGCGATGAGATGGGTGAGAAGGTGGCTGTTTGAGCCACTGTCTGTGGTGATATGTTGTCATTGATGGTTGTGCTTGGATGATGAGGACAGAGGTAGCTGGGTGGCGAGGATGGAGAGGGCACATGTCAGCAAATGCTAATGTGGCTTGAACATATGCAGAGGACACTGGAACATGCCAGAACAGTGGAAGGAGTGGAAAGAGGGATGAGACAGCAGGAATGAGAGGGTGTGAGTGGTGGTATGCACAAGAGTAATCATAAGTTAATAAAAATGATCAGTTAGCATGATGAAGTAGCATAAAAACATACAATACACGCGCCTTTGCAACTGAGAGAAAGAGATCCCCACTTGAAAGTCTACTTCATCCCCATCCAGAGTCGACTCTACATGCAGCGTGCGCACACCGTGAATGTACCTCATGCAGACTGGAGGTAGCTGGGTGAGTCCTAATGACAGAACTGACATAATCAAACATACCCTAAACCCAATCTTCATCAATCAGTTGCACTCTTCACCAAATGGCATACTGTAGAGATTCACACATCCAACAAATCGAAGCTATTTGGTGTGACCGTCACACAAATTTGGAGTCATCGGTGTGATTTCTGTCGAGATTTCTAAATTCCCACTTTCCTGCATCACATAAGCTGCATCACACAGCATGTCACAAGCACAGCCTGCACTGGGGCTGGCCCATGTAAGTCTGGAGATCAAAATTTTCATACCATCCCTTATTACTTGACAATCAGTTCAAACCTGTTCAAACCAGGTTCGAGAATTCTGCAAGTCCTCAAATCGTGGACCGGACCAATGGTTCAGGTTCTCCCTATTGCCTGAACTTTGAACCAGACTTCGGTCAGGTTCGAAACAGTTCAGGTTCGAACCGTGGTTCAGGACTGGACCTGGCCATCACTAAGAATAGGACTACAGCATCACAAAAATTGCTCATACTAGACCTAACAATTATATATACGGTATCAATACTGTCAATAATATCAGGGTTAGGGTTTAGTATGTCTGAGCAGACTTGGAACCTGAAATGTCCAATGGACGGAACGTGTATGACGTGTTCCAGGCAAATATATTATTATCTCAATTAGATTATTCAGATATTGTAAATCACACAGAGATATTCAGTTAAAGTCAGATATTGATTATCATCATGAGAATACAATATATTGTAAGGCGCTACAATATAAGGAACCTGCTGCACTAGCAGGGTATCGCTGAATGAGAGAATCCAGAGATAACATGGAAAGCAATGTCAGAGGTAACAAGAGCACAACACCGAAAGTCCCAGTGTGAGAATATGAGTACAATGAGGCAAAGTCCAGTGTGAAAATGCGGTGATTTGAGAAGCGGCTGCCAAGTCCAAACGAGCAATCATTGAAGTGAAAAATCTAAAACCGATCAAGGAAAACCGAGTGACGACATAGTCAGAATAAGGCAAAATGAACATACCAATACCATCTATTTCCTGCATGCTACGTGTTTGATGCAACCTTTGGTTGGCTTGGCCAGTTCCTGGTCCTCATTGTCGGATTCCTCTGTTGCGCGGTGCTTACCCTTACCCCGGCTGGTTTTCAGTGCCTTCTTTTTCCTCCTTTTGTTGGTACTGATGGGTTCCAAGTCTTCATTGTTGTCAGATGGAACATCATCTGGCGTGAGTTCACTTGGTGCAGGAGATTTTGGTGGGATGGGGGCCGTCTGCACGAGCCTTGGAGATCGAACAATTGGCAGTGGGGGGAGTTCCAGCTCCAGGGTGACAGAAGCAACTGGTGGTGGGAGGAGTTCCGGTTCTGGGGTGACAGAGCTTTGAGGCGGCATTGGGATAGTCGGAGTAGCTTCAGGTGCTGTGGGTTGTTTGGCAGTGCTGGCACGAGCGGCCATCTGTGCTCGCATTTTAGCCAGCCCGTTTACTGGAGCGGAGGACGAGCCAGTTGAATTTCCAGGTCCATTGTCGTCGGATATGGTTGGTCAGCCTTCGCATCCGTTCTCATTTTTAAATAATGTCCTAAAGACAGAAGCAATTAGTCAGGCAAATTATTAGAGGAGAAAAACATACCTGTTCCACCATTTGAGGAGTCCCTCCGCCCAGTCTCTATCCTTGCACTCGCAAATGAAGTCGATAATGTTGTAGTAGAACGCGCGATTGTTGAATTCGCCATCCGCTTCGGACCATTTGTTCTTGTTGCTGATGGTGAAGCGTGCCTGGCAGTAGTAGTAGTAGTAGTAGTAGTAGTAGTATATGAAAACAATAAGTCAGTTGTGTTAAGTACATCAATTAAAATAAAACACACCTGAACGCAAGCATATGGTATATGCTCTGCCTCAACAGTAGTCATGTCATGCAGGGATGTGTTGTACGAACATGTAGCGTGTGAGTCATCACCTAATGTAAGATTGTAGGCTTCAAACCTTCTTTTAATGGTTCAGGCGCCACATAGTGGCCGATTTGGGCCTTCAAGCGAGTTGCATCATCTGAACGTGTTCCACTGATAACAGCAGTCATCTAAATAGTATATCAGTACACGATATGTGCGCATATAAGCAGCATATACTCACCTTTTGTGCGATCTGAGTGAGTTCCTTGGATTTCGCGCAATCAGCAATAAGTGATCGGAGTCCTGGAGCCAGTTGAAGCAACTGCTGATAGTTGTGCCTGTACTGATTGAGGGTATTGGTTGAACTAAAAAAAATGGACATCTTAGTATAGACTTTGCAAAATGAAAATTCGGACTTACAGACTTGCAAGCCTTTTCTGACAGGATTCGCGCTCGGCCTCTGACTCTTCCAATTCTCCATTCTCCATGGCCTGCTCTTGCTGTAGGAGTAGACCTACCCTTAGGAGTTTCTCCATGTTGCAAAACAGATCAGTGCAACGTGCCATGGCATGTGCTGCCGCAAGATACTCCTCTTGAACTTCGAGTTTGGAGTTGTTCTCTTTCGAGATCTTAGCTTTCCTGATCATAGATTATATTAGTAATCTCAGCGCAAGGAATTTAAATAGAAAACTTACTTGACTTCTCGATCACCTTTATCAGATTTGTGCCCGCGTTTTTTAGATGACTTCTTGAGGTGAAGTTGCAAGTGTTCCATTGAGGAAATAGAAGAGTCGCTGCTGGTGTTGCTCTCTGAAGCTGAGAGGGATCTGGAACGATGTTTGTGTGGCATGCTTGAGATGTGATGCAATGATATCAATAGAAGAAGTCGTGTGATCAGAATCTGATCAACAAAGGCAAATTTCAATCTCTGAAATCACATGACCCACCTCGCTCAATTCTAATTTCTCTAAGTCAAAATCTCTTCATCATATCCGAGTCGACGATCATGATCATGAACCGACTGCTTAATCAGAAGTATCGATTGCTTCATCCACAGACTGGAATAGGTGTGTCTGTCATACCTTAAGGATGCTCACATACCATGCAAGTGGTGATAACTGAGCCATGCGGCGAAATGGCACAGGCAACTCCAAGGACTTAGACTGGGAGTTAGTAGACTCATTTGGAGAAGAGTTGCAGGAAGCAGGATCAATACATATTCCCGCTAAGTCTTATGAATTTTTTATTATATCTATGATGCAATATAAGATCTAAAGTTTGTGTTCATGTTGGGCTGAGTGTGCATCCCATGGACGGCCTCACCTGCCTCGGGTGTGCAAAGGTTTTCATGACTCAGAAAAGCCTCAGTAATCATGAGGCTCGGTGTGATGCCAGTAAGAGCCTGGATGCTGATGTCTATAAACAGCAGTGCCATCTGGAGAAGCAAATGTGCCGGTGACCTGCACCAAACTGGTTCGGTGCATGGATGACTAATGCTCTCCCATGAGCCTAATACCCTAGAAATCACTACGAAACCATTTCCCTCTATTCTAAAGCCAGAATGCAGCTCAGACAAATATTTCATTTCATCTTTTCAATGGAACTCAGACAGGCTGAATATTTTTGTATATTTAATTCTGCGATGAATTTTGCTTAGTCATCCTCAACAATGACTCAGGCTGAATCCCACACATGTCAGGTGACTGTGAAAAATAGTTCTCGCATGGGTTACCCTGGGAAAACTTCCTCAAAACCCTAAATACTTGCCTCGCGTCATTTTCTCATTCAACAAAGTGACATCAGAACGGAACACCAATGATCATGAATATTTCTCTTGCAGTGCACAATCAGCCTGTCACATGACCCTTCAGTCACATGATGCTAAATCACATGATCTTAAGTCAGGTGACTTTTGATCCAAATCAAGTGATGACAGAACACTCAGCCCAAGCATGCTGACTAATGCTGACTAATTATGGTCTCATTTGGTGCAACATAAGCAACCCCTGCAAAATGATTTTTGGTACCGCTGACTAAGCTCACCCCTCATAGATGGCGGGAAAACATAGCACAGCCACCCTTTTTTTTGTATATAAGACCCAAATTTTTGCCCAAAGAAGAGAGCTTTTTAGCCCCACTTTCAGAATAAAATTGTGTGTGAAGTGTGATCATTGTCAACAACAGTGACCAGGGCTGTCAAGTACCTTCAGCAAAGTCATTGTAACCAGTAGTCAGCCAGCAACTTTCAGTAACCAGCAAGCCCCTAAGCTCATCAGCATCAGCATTCAGCAACACCTTTAGCTCATCACCACCAACAACGACCAAGACCTTGAGCTCACTGTGCTCAACGACCGACAGAACTTTTTTTTTTTTTTGATTTTTCTTCTTTGATTTTCTAGTTTTCTTCTGTCTCTTTTTCTCTTTCTTTTCTTTCGTTCTTTCTTTCTTTCTTTCTTTGTCTTTCTTTTCTGTCACTCTTTTGTTTTTCTCTTTTTTTTTCGTTCTTTCGCTCTTTCTCTCTCTTCTCTCTCTCTGTGATCCTCTCTCTTTCTTCTCTTTCAAGTTTCGGTGCTAAGCTTTCATTCATATTTTCAGAAGCTTTTGTGTTGTCTCTTTCGTCCATCTAGACTCCGAATAGTTTAGTGGGGAGACTTTAGGGATTGACAGTAACGCTTGACCTCACTCATCTGAGTAGTGATACTGAGCCAGGATCTTCCTTGTCTGCTAGACTTTAGTTGTTGAATAGGGGACTTGGTACTGAAACCAAGGACATCCGTTCCTGATTCTGTTTAATACTCATCGTGAGTTCCTTGGCAGCAGGTTCAACAGTGAGCTAAGAGTTCTACTGAGCATTGATTAGTCTTGACCTTTGATTCTACCTGTTTGTGCTGAGGGGGTTGATTGCTGTAATTCCACACAACTCTTTCGAGATACGATTGTTACAAGGCATTGTTGTTGAAGGAAGGTTTGAAGAGGTGTCTTTTTTTCTTTGTTTCTTTTTGTCATCACCATACCGTTGGGTTGACTAGTTTTCTTTCATCTTTCAATCACTGCCATACCGTTGGAGTGATTTCATTTCAGTTTCATTTTTGTTGGATTGACTGCATTGTTGCTGACCTTACAGAAGTACTGTGGTCTGACATAGCTTGGGAAGTGTAAACAGCCACCCACGAACGACCACGTTATCAGCCATTGGTATTTGTCTGAATCGCTGACTGTGGAGATATTTGTTTTTATAGGTGTTTATCTATAGATCATCTATCTAAGAAGACACTGGAAGAAAGAAAGGCAACGTGTCATGGCTCCTGACGCATCTTCCTCACCAGAAGGCAGAGATATGAGCTGCAATGCTTGTCGACTAAGTCCTGAAGACCGGATGGATGTCGACAATGATCATATGCACGAGGTAAGTCACTCTATGTTGAATGATCGGTTTGTCTAATTTTATAACTAATAGGATGAAAATACTGCTGGAGCTTCTACTGACGTCGGCGCACCAATCCCACCAATCCCTGATGTGCCTGCCATAACCTCTGCTCGTTCTGGCCGACGAATCCGCATGCCTGCTCGTTATGCGGACTATATCCCAGCTGGACCTACCAATCTCCCACATTTACCTGCTCCTCCTCCAGATAGTCCTCCCAACCGAGTCATCAATGACCTCCCTGATTACCAGCCCATACTCATCCCCTACCAGACTGCACCGGATGCACTGGGTCTTTTCCGCATCTATGCGCAAAAACCCACTCTCATACCCACCGGAAATGAAGGCCTGGATGTGATCGCTGATGCCCTGACCTTTGAAACTCAGGGCAATTCTCATTTAGTGCATTCTCAGATCGATCCTGGACTTCCCTCCCAAGAAATCCGTCTGGAAGACATATTTTCCCCATTTAGCAGCCCGACCACAGGACTTCTCATGTGCAGGCAGTATTCCGGCGCAAACTCTAAGTCGAGCGCCAAAATGAAACATCTCACCAGGGAATTTCTCAACAATGATGTATATAGGAGAGAAGACATGCGGATTTTTGACGATGTGAGGGAGAAGAGGCTCATGAAGGAGTACCTCAAGGACAGATCCAATCTGTTTCATGTGGAAAATGGCTGGCGCAGCTCTTCAGTAAAAATCCGCCTACCCAAAGAAAAGGTGAAGTTCCTATCAGAAGAAGACGCCCCAGAATTGGAGATCACCGGCATTCATCACCACTCCCTCACTGACATAATTAGATCTGTCTTTGAGGACAGCATAGTGTCCACCTTCCATCTGACACCTTTCCATCAGCAATGGGAAACCTCTGAAGGGTGCAACATCAATGTCTATAGCGAGGCATATTCCTCACCGGCCTTTATAGAAGCCTATGAGGAAATGAATGCGCTTCCCCAAGATCCAGGCGATGACCTCGAGCAAGTCATCACCTCACTGATGATGTGGTCTGATGGCACTCACCTGGCTAGTTTCGGTGATGCGTCGCTCTGGCCCTTCTATCTGTGCTTTGGAAATCAATCCAAGTACACACAAGGCAAGCCAACCGTGTCTGCATGTCATCATGTTGCATATATTCCGAATGTATGTGCCATTTCATTTGCATTCTATTAATTTGATTATGCTAATTACAATATATTAAGCTTCCTGATGACTTCCAAGACTGTTACGGCCATCTCTTTTATGAGGCATCATCCAGTGACATCTATACTCACTGTAAGCGCTGTAGAGACTCATGCCTCTCATGGCGTGATATGGCAGTTTCCACTAGGGAGTATATAGCACCAACTTGCAGCACCACTCTGTGTGCAGTCCGCAGCTATCCCTATACAAGGCGCAGCTTTCCCGCTGTAGAGAATCATGCCTCTCATGGTGTGATATGGCGCGTTACACTAGGAGTACATAGCACAAACTTGCAGCATCACTCTGTGTGCTATCCACAGATATTCCACTATGAGGCGCAGCTTTCCCGTGCTTCACGATGTGTGCGCACGCGCGCATTCCCGTGCTTGAGCGCCCTATAGCGCCAACCATCCAGAAGCATCCATCCACTGTCCACCAAGCTCCCTAGTGCATATATTTCCATTTCCTTTATTAGCATATTGTTCTGTCTTTATTTTTATCATGGATTCTCACTCATATATATCTTTACATACCTACTTGGTAGCGCTTCGGCTCCGCATTCCAGCGCTTAGGCACGCTATATAAGTGCCAGCAGTACATACTACTACACACACAAGTTTTTTCACTTACTTTTCACTTACTTTCCCTTTAACTTACTAGTTACCACCCACCATTTTACTTAGCAGAACATAGTAGAAGTCTATTTGTCTACACTTCGCATCTCTCTTCTCTTGTATTGCATCATATTAGCACTTGAGTCTAACTTCTCTATTATTTCTGCATATGCGCGCGTGCTTTCCCGCGCATTCCCGCGCCTTCGTGCCTTGCGCGCACCTGCGCTTTCTCGCGCCTCACTTCAGCGCGTACCTCTAGATCTTCGCTGCACTCGCTTCCCCTTTAGGGTCGAATGCACTTGTCTTGTCAAGTAACGCAGACTAGGCAAAGCGCGACCTTACAAACATTTATAGATACAGTCAGGAGCCTCATTTGCTCCTCACAGTATTGTTGTTTCTACACCGCGCAACGCACGCCATGCGCGCACATTTCCCGCACTTCGCGATGTATATGCGCGTGCACGTTCCCGCGCTTGAGCACCTATAGTGCCAGCCATCCAGAAGCATCCATCCACTGTCCACCAAGCCCTCTAGTGTGTATATTTCTATTTCTCTCATCTGCATATTGTTCCATCTTTATTTTATCATGGACTCTCACCCATGTATATCTTACATACATACTCGGTAGCGCTTCGGCTCCGCATGACCGCGCTTAGGCGCGCTATATAAGCGCCAGCAGTACATAGTACTAGACACTTTCCAACCTACTTTTTAAACTTACTTTTCCTACCTTTCACTTTACTATACTTTCCACCCACTATCTACCTAGAAGAACATAGTAGAAATCTATTTGTCTGCACTTTGCACCTCTCTTCACTTATCTTGTATTATATTATCACTTAAGCTTAGTCTCTCTATCATTTCCACACGCGCGCGCGCTTTCCCATGCTTCACGTGTTCCCGCGCCTTGCGCGCACCTGCGCTTTCTCGTGCTTCGCTTTGGCGCACACCTCGAGATCCTTGCAGCACTCACTTCCTCTTTAGGGTCGAATGCGCTTGTCATCTCAAGCATAGCAGACTAGGCAAAGCGCACGACCTTCAACATTTATAGATACAGTTTGGAGCATCATTTGTTCCTCTCTGTATTGTTGTTTCTACTGGACGAAGATTTTATGGATGCCTACAAAAATGGCATTATTATTCGATGCGGGGATGGGATCACTTGACATGTTTTCCCCCGCTTCTTTACTTACTCGGCAGACTATCCTGAAAAAAGTGCGTATTTTAATCTTAAATCTTATGATTGTATCTCATCTTAGGTCTATTCTTGTAGGATTCTGCTTGCATGCATCAAGTTTCTCGGCGAATGCCCTTGCCCCCGCTGCCTGATCAAAAAAGAAGACGTCCCCAAGATGGGCATGAAGATTAATCTTGAGAACCGCCAGGCAACTCAGCGTGTCGATGATGAACAACGTCATCACAAAGTTGAAAAAGCCTGCAAGCTTATTTTTCAGCATGGCATTGGCATCAATAGGCAACAGATCAAGAAGATCTTGCAAAGCGAGTCACTAGTTCCAACTCAGGTGAGTAATCTGCGCATCAATCTTAGATTTATATCTTATTATTTCATATCAAAACACATTTTCTATGTGGTTTCTTAAATACATTTTCAATTTTTTTTCAATGTTCATTGTTGACTTACTTCACGAGTTTGAGCTCGGTGTGTGGAAAGCAATTTTCATACACTTGATGTGCATTCTATTTGCCGCAGGTGGTTCAGCGGTGTAGAAACAACAATACAGAGAGGAACAAATGAAGCTCCTGACTGTATCTAAAAAATGTTGTAGGTCATGCATTGCCTAGTCTGCATTACTTGAGGAGACAAGCACGTTCGACCCTAAAGGGAAGCGAGTGCAGCGAAGATCTAGAGGTATGCACTGAAGCGAGGCACGAGAAAGCGCAGGTGCATGCAAGGCACGGGAACACGCATGCATATTAGCGCGAAGCGTGGGAAAGCGCGTGCACGTGTGCGGAAATGATAGATAGACTAGACTCAAGTGATAATATGATGCAAGAGATGTGAGAGTGCAAGATGTAAAGGAATAGAGTTCTATTGCGACTTTCTAGGTAGTAAGTACTAGGTAAAGTGAGAGGTGAAAGTTCAGTGGTAAAAAGTAGGTTGGAAAGTGGAAAGTGTGTTGAAAAGTCCTTAATAGTATGTGCTGCTGGCGCTTATATAGCGCGCCAAAGCGCGGTCATGCAGAGCCGAAGCGCTACCGAGTAGGTATGTAAGATATATATGGGTGAGAGTCCATGATAAAAATAAAGATGGAACAATATGCAGATGAGAGAAATAGAAATATACGCACTAGAGAATATGGTGGACAGTGGATGGATGCATCTGGATGGCTGGCACTATAGGGTGCTCAAGCGCGGGAATGCGCACATGCATATACATCGCGAAGCGTGGGAATGGTGCGCGCATGGCGCGCGTTGCGCGGGAAAGTTGCGCCTCGTATAGGGATAGCTGCGGGTAGCGCACAGAGTGACACTACAAGTTCATGCTATGTACTCCTTGGTGGGAACTGCCATATCACGCCATGAGAGGCATGATTCTCTACAGCAGTTCAAGAACTTAATTTCAGGTATGTCATAGTTCTTTTTGCAATATCACAGCGCTTATATGACTACATACAGGTACCGTCAGGTTCCTACTTTTGGCAGGGGAACGATCAGACAGTTCCACAAGAACACTTCTGCAATGAAGTGTCTCGCAGCCTGCGACTTCGAAGATTTATTACAGGTGAGATTGATTCTATCAGAATTTGATGATGAACTGATGTGCCTTTCATTTCTAGTGCGCTATTCCTGTATTCGAAGGACTTCTCCCCCCCGATCATAACACAATCGTTCTCGACCTCCTCTTCGACCTTGCTACCTGGCATGCTTATGCGAAGCTTCATGTACATACTGATGACACTCTTGCATTTTTCAACTCCTCAACTGTCATCCTCAGCCAATCAGTCCACAAGTTTCAATGCACTACTTGTGCATACTACCACACAACCGAACTTCCTAGTGAGTATGCCACCCGTAGATGTCGTCAGGCTACATTAGCCTCAAACCAAGTGGGATCTGCAACTGGGTTGCAGATTGGGAAATTTTCTACATCAAACCCAAAGGTTAAGACATTGAATCTTTACACCTACAAATACCACGCACTCACTGACTACCCAAATACTATCCAGTGAGTCTGTACTACAGATAGCTATTCAACACAACCGGTAAGTCTTCTTTTCATTATGTTTTTCATTCAATAACTAATACCTGACAGGGAGAACTCGAGCACCGTCGATCGAAGCGCCGGTACCCTTGCACAGCCAAGAAGAAGGATCAAACTTTGATCAGCATGACTTCTCAAGAAGCGCAAGAACACCTCATTGAGAAGGTGATCGCTGCACTTGCAGCACAGCGGAATCCAAGACCATGGTGCACATGAATGTCTCCCTCCGATCATTATTCCATTGCCAAATATGCTCAGGCAAATGATGATATTGCCTCCTGGTTAATTGGGCGCAGAGATGTTGGAGACTTGTGTGATCTGGCTATTGAGGTAAGCTATTGTTAGATTTTCATTTTCACACTTTCATTATATTTTATTAGGAGTTCATTCCGTGACTTAAGGACCATCTTCTTGCTCAGCTTCGCAATATTGCATACGACAGAGATGAGCATGACTTCACCGATGCTGATCGTACCTCAGTGCTGTTTACTGACAACAAAATATATCACCACAGCATTTTACGCATCAACTATACAACATATGATCTACGACGTGAACAGGACACCATCAATCCCTGCACTTGTGCCGACATAATGGTTCTCTCCCATGAAGACAAGAAGACTCACCCATACTGGTATGCCCGCGTGATCGGGATCTTTCATATCAACGTGGAATACTGTGAGGATGACATGAGGATGTATTCTGAACCAATTTGGATGGACTTCTTGTTCATTCGATGGTTCAGAAGGGATAATTTGCCTGCAGGTTGGGCTGCAAAACGACTCCAGCACCTCGAATTTTTTGATTGAGACAGCCCTGATGCATACAGATTTTTGGATCCAGACTCTGTCATTTGTGGGGTTCACTGAATTCCAAGTTTTCAACATTGTATAGATCCTCAAGATCTCAAGTCTGACTGCCAATTTCAGTATGTGAATATGTGCGCATTTCATTTTATTTATTCTTGCTACACAGGCTGACATACTATCTACACAACATATAGATTTGTAGATCGAGATATGTTCATGAGGTTCCATGGTGGCGGAATTGGCCACAAAGCTACCAGAGACCGGGACAACATTCTCCAACTCGAGCAACATGGAGCCAAAGAAGCGGAAGCAGAAGAAGCTGATGATGCGCCTGACGCAGCTGAAGAGGAAGAGGAATGGGAAGACATCGAGAATGACTTGGATGATGTTGACAGCGAGAGCGATGAAGAAGAAGATGATGACGAGGGTAGAGTCATAGCAGATGAAGGAGAGGAGCTGGATGATAACGTGCTTGCAGAGGAAGGGTATGGCGCACTTTAATGTATTGTAGTTTGATGTTCTCAACCGATCGATCGCGCAGCGCAATGCATCAAATTCTCATTGTCATTTTCTCTTGCACCAAAAAATTTGATTACAGTATCTACTCGACATTATTTATATATACTAGTAGTGTCTATGATATATCATGTAGATACAAGAAGTAACTACTCATAATCAATGTGATATAATGACGAGGGATGTGGTGTCGTTCTGAGTTACTTACTTGCGTTCAATTGTCGCGTCGTGACGTGGATGACATCACGCGTGATTATTTGGTCGTATGTTTAGGCACCCTACCGTCCATATCGGGTAATTTCACGGTTGAGCAATTTTTGTGATGAGCAATGTGATTGCGGATATTGACTACTACAGTGAATACAAGTACTCCCAGCGCTCTACATAGCCCTCATTTCAGCTACATATGACTACAGTGACCACGTAGCAATATGTAGCCGTCACTGGGACTACACCGATATTGGTTTTTTCCTGATGTATGGCCTTGATTCATATCTTGCCGGCAGGACCTTAGGCAACTCAGGGTCCTTCTCAGAAGCCAGGCTTTGATTGTTGACGTAAATATCTTCCGCGTTATTTCCGCGAGGTTCACTGTCTGGCAACTCACAATTTTTCACAATGGCCTCTGCAGAAGAGAGCCCTTTACTGGTGCCCACCACGCATGAAGTTATTTATAACAGATTCGCGCCAGATCAAAAGAGGTGGATTGTGTTTCACGTGTCTTTTGCAGGTTTGTTGGCTAGTGAGTACTGGGAGTTATGTAAAGTGTACTGTTTGACGCAGATACTGATGAACATTGGTCAGTGTTTGTCCAAGTGACGTTCGTGCCTTCCATCCCTCAGATAGCTAAAGATCTCGACTCAACACATGCTGACGTTAGGTGTGTGTTGTATGCTCATCTGATATGTAGTCACGATCGAACTATTTCCCAGCTTGGCTTTGAGCCTATCGGTCTTTGCTAATGCCATCGGAGCGTTATGTTGGTCTGCTTATTCGTCTTTCTGTGCGTGCATCCACGGCGTATCTTGCACTTGTTGTATTTTTTGAGTTCTAACACCAGTCCTACAGACGGACGCCGATCGATATATCTGTGGGGAATGCCGTTTCTATGTGTTGGGAGCTGTGGTGTTGCGTTGTCGACTTCGTTGCAGAGTCTGTTATTCTGGCGATTCGTGCAGATGTTTGGATGCGCTGGGGCGTTGTCGTTGGGGTCAGGTGTAATTGGCGACATTTATAAACTGGAGGAAAGGGGGACCGCTATTGGGATATTCTTTAGTGTGAGGAATCATGATGATTGATTGGATTTTTCGGTTTGGTATTGACACCGCTATTTCAGGTCACACTTCTCGGGTTCACTTTTGCCCCGTTTATTGGAGGTAACTATATTCTGGATGTTTATGGCCGCTGACTCTAGTGATGTATTTGATCAGGTGCGGCGACACAGTATTGATCCTGGCGCAATTTGCATTATTCCATTGGTGCATGGGGCTTACTCGAGATGCTTTTCATATATCTTTCGTTTCCTGAGACGAGTCATCCCGGCACATTGGGTATTGATAAATTGCCGTCCAGGAGACGGATTCATATCAAATGGATTAATCCTCTCAGCAGTCTTTGGTTGCTTCGCAGTCCAAACCTATTTGCGGTTGTGAGTGCATATACCATGCGCTACATAGTACAAAGTCTTGATTTTGTGCGAGATTTAGATGCTTGCGTCAGCTCTAATGGTCAACACCATGTATGGTGTGTTGTTACTTTTTACTGATCGTGCAGTACATTCTCACATCAAACCATGTAGTTCTCCTCGTACCGATAGCGAATACTATTGTAAGCTGACAATCATCTTCCATCTCGCATCCTGATCGCGGTATAGGGCGTCCGGTATGGAATCACAAACGATGCCATCATCGGGGCATTTTTCCTCCCAAACGGACTGGGATGCTTCGGTAGGTGCAGAGCATTGTAGTCACAGAGCACCAACATGACCTTGAACAGGCGGAACTCTGGTTGGTGGCCGCCTGTCGGACATTGTAGTCAGAAGATGGCGGGAGAAGCGCAGAGGAGCGTATTGTCCCGAAGACCGCTTGAGAGCGACCTGGATTGGAGGGCTGCTCATTGTCCCATTGTCTATTGGGGCATCGGGGCTGATCACGACGTATATTGGGGGCCCGATTGGCCTTGCGCTGAATATATTATGCCTCTATGCGAATGGAGTGGGGGTAAGTCATGCAAGCTAGATCCTCTCACTTGTGCATAAAGCAATTCATTGAATTTATAGGTCGAGTTAGTGTTGAATCCTGTTAATTCTTATAATGTGGACATAGGGCATTCTCGAAGCGCAGAGGCCACAGCTGCTTGCATGTCAGTCTCCATGATATCGCATGACTATCAAACTTGAACTCGTTCTTCTACTTGTCAGGGCGGGCTGGTCGCTCATTATGTCTTTCGCGATTGCTCTTATCATTCCAACGATCGAGTGCATAGGTGTTGCGTGGATGGACATCATTGCGGCTGTCCTTGCAGTCATTGGACAAGGGTAAGGATCTTTTTGAATGCAAAATTGGTGATACTGCCATAACACGGTTTCAAAACTTCTTTCCTAGGATCATTTTCTTGACGATTCGTTATGGTGATGGCATGAGGGCGAGTATAGATGTTGGTTTCTCGACCGTGGAGAATAATTAACGGACTGATCTTTGTTTATCTGAAAGGAAGCAATGTATAATCAATATATGTGGAACAATATACTCGTCATCATTGCTAAAAAATAGTCTCCCTGTCTAATGATGGCTCGAGCACCATTAGAAAAAAACTCGAATTCGAAATACTGAATTTTGTAAGTGCAAGGAGTCAAATTATTGTCCGTTGGGGTCAAAAACCCCGGGTAGGATACGGCCCTTTTGGTGCAGTGGTTACTCCCGCTCATTCTACCGTATGCAAGGAAAGCTACGAGCGCACGAGCGCAGAGCTGAGAATTAAGCTGCATCTCTGGATGCTATTAGAGTTCCTAGCGGCCTACGGCCCTACTCTACGTGTTCGATGTTCTATTTTTGGATGTATGTGAGCGTGGCTGTGTAGTGATGTTTGGTGCCGTTCCAAGGCAAACTTTGACACGCACACACATCGGGGTGAACGATATTTAAAAGAGGTTTATATGTTGTACAAAATGTGAAGACAATATTTAATATTTAAACTAACATAAAGATGGGTGCACGACTTCAAATTTTGGTGGTGTTTTGTGTGTAATCCAAAATATCAAATATTCACAACCATATTCCCACAGACAATATGTCAACAAACATAAGAAATATAGTCAGATTTTTCATGTCTGCTTCAACTTAAAGTTCAATTTCCATGTAAAACTTTGGAGAAAACTTGAAGTTTTACAGATGACATGACATTAAAACTCGATTTAAATGTCAAGCTTTGGCAAAACTTCAAGTTTTCTCCAAAGTTTTATGTAAGAATCAAACTTTAAATTGAAGCAGACATGGAAAATCTGATTATATTTATTATATTTGTTGACATATTGTCTGTGGGAATATGGTTGTGAATATTTGATATTTTGGATGACACACAAAACACCACCAAAATTTGAAGTCGTGCACCCATCAGACTCGGACCACTTCTGCAGTGACTCATAGTCATACGTGTTATCTTTTTGATGCATAACCTTTTTATCCTACTAACGTACCACACCACGCTCACTCTGGCCTATAATCGACATTATTAGCAAGTGCAGCGAAGGGTTCTCCATGGTGTTGTAAACACAGCATGGGCAACTCCTCGTTGTTCCTGCCACGTTGTCAGGCGCAGTGGACCTTAATCACCCAGGACTCGCCTGATGTTTCTGTTGCATTGTTTTGCTGTCGCTTATCTCAGTCTTCAGCCACAAATCACATCCTGTAATGATGAACAGGCCTTGAGCGAAAATGTAACTGTTATCAGCTTTGCAGCTACAGAGGAAGCTGATCGCATAAAGTATACGGATTGAAACAAGCATGGCAGTCCGTGTTGCAGCACCGCCCTGATGGGCACCAGAAAAGTGACCAAGATCATGCGAGCCAAGGAAAGATTGAGTTACATACAGGTGAGCCACTTTTTGATAGATTTTGATCGTGCCAGCACCAGTGCGGCCCCCAGTCTGAATGCCCGTTCTAGGATCTTATGGATCAAAACGTGAATGCACAGTCGGATTTGAAAATTTCTTCATCTACCTGCTACTCTTCATAATTGCAAATTGTACGTGGACGATGTTGGTGACGAGGTTGAAGATTGTAAATTATTATCCACAGCCTGCTGGCTTTGCCGCATTTGACCCTTGCATGCTGGAGGGCATCCGGGAACCGGAAATTGTTGTTGATCGTGGGGTGAATCGACTTGGATCCCAACCTGAACGTTAACACCAACCTTTACCATCACCGAAGCCTTCTTTCGTCGAGAAATCTCAAACATGTTGGCCACGCCCGTGAAGATAACTCGTTTTCTCAAGCGTCTCGTACGATCTGCTAGCTTGAGAAATCCAGTCAAAAAGGTGACATAACTATTGAATTTTAGTGTTCTCGTGTTGACCGACAATGCTTTCTAGCCTGTGATATGGTTCATTGTGTTCTTCTATGTCTGCTCAGCCGCATTCATCATCACACTCACTCCAGCTCGCATTGCTCAATTCATGTATGATGTCGGTCAAAACTTCCGACAACTTCCATATGGGTACATGCTTCTTATCCTCGTCATGAGTAAGCATGTCTTGTACGCTTTCATCTGATGTTCAAACATGATTTCTCTCAGTTGTCACATCCTTCCCCCCTTTCATTGGACATACCATACTCCTTTACTTGTTTGGTTTCACATACGGCATACGGGGCGTCATCCCCGCGGTAATTGGAACACTGGCAGCATCCGTTATAGTTTTTGTCACCCTTCGGATGATGTTCAGCAAGAGGCAGCGTTTGTGGACCCCCACTCACGAGAAATGGCAGGCTCTGGAAGTTGTTGTAGTCAGTGTGTTTCATTAGCATCGGCTTATTTGCTTAGTAGAAGATGCCTACAGCGATCAAGAGGTATGCCTTTGATCATACTCATCCGTATGTCTTCACTTGTGCCGTGGGCTTGGTCAAACTCGCTATTCGCAGTAAGCCTTTCAATTGCCAGTAATTTGGATCTAATGCCTTCACCACAGAGCATATCGTCGGTATCGTTGCTCCAGTTCTTCATAGCGACTTGTTTTGTCGTCCCAAGGGTCATGATACAGGTATTCATCGGATCTCGTCTTGCCAGACTGTCAAACAGCAATCAGAGAAATCGCAACCTTACCCGTAAGAACTCGTGACATGCCGTTCTGCCTTTATTAATTCACGGCGCGCAGAAATGAGATTTTTCAACAGCCTTCTCATTATCGGAGGTATTCTGTCAACTGCTTTAGCTAGCTCGTTCGTATTCAGGTCACCGCTATTCTGGATCTTTTCTCACGATGTATAGGCTGGTCTACTATTTCGTACATAAGGAGATCAAACATTTACGTGTCAGCTCGTCAAAGCGTGACGAAACAGCTGCAGAGACATTTGGGGCAACACAGGAAACGTCTTTTTCTGACTCCACAGTTTGACTCTTCCTTACGCTTATCGTAGTAAGATGCTTTATCTTGGTGGTGGAATATATATTATCCTCCCGCACTGTTGTGTTCTCGATGGATCGACCCTGCTGACTGCTGCTGTAGCAAAACTTGCTGCCAAGGGACCGAGTTTCAGATCAGCAAGAACACCAGTGGCGTACTAATTAGGTGCACCAATAGGATTCCCCTCGCGATTGGACAAACACTAGTGCTACAAAATTTGGTAGCCAGTCATGAGTTATGAACTATTTTTGTCAAGCTGACGCCCGTGAGCTAATAGTAAAAAGCATGTGCCTTCAAGGGGCGGGGCCGAGAACGAACGGCAAGTGAGGGCGCTTGCGGATGGCAAAACAGGAGTGTCTCTGAATGGTGGGGTCGAACCCCCAACGCCAGGTATAAAATCTCAATTCTGAATGGTGGGGTCGAACCCCCAACGCCAGGTATAAAATCTCAATTCGGAGCAGATGGTGCAACTACACACACCACCACGCCCCTTTGGAGGCTAGACGCAGAAGCGAGGATGGCAGTATATATGAACTTGTACTGTTAACGCATGGCAAAATAGGTATCACATCTAAGAGCCTTTAAGGGTCGAACTCCCAACATCGACCATAAAAACTTGCCAAAGCAAACGATGCAGTTAGATGCATTCGGCACTGGATGGTTTTATGTCATTCCCCCCACTGCGTCGTATACGTACAAAAGTAACGATCATTGCTAAAAATACATTGTACCAAACACAAATTCCGGTCATCGATCCTTTATATCATGAGACGAGATGTCTTCACAATCTCGAGCATCATGCCTAGAGCGATCAATCCAAAACTCTGAGCTCCAAACATGCTCGGTTCTTCCTTCAGGTTATCTTCTGCTACACACCACGCCGCCCAACAGCGCTTGAACGTTTCTGCCATCACTCGCCAGTCTGACTCTTCATAATCTTCTTCCTCGTCCGTTCCCGTCTCTGATGTCTCCTGGTCCTCCTCGTACGAGGTTTCGGTCCTTGATGCAGGTTTCTCCCCCTGAAATTCTTCCCTTACTCTACGAACGAGTTCTTGCGTCTGAAAATATTGTTAAATAACCCATAATGTAGATTGGATGTTGCGCTGACCTGCAAGTTCATCGCGGAGACTGTATTCCGCCGACGTTGATGATCGGACCAAGTTGCCATGATGGTCCCGCTCACCAATTCGGCTTCGGAGACGTGAATATTCTTGTTTTTCGACATTGTGTGTGCTTGCCCGACGATCAGTAGCTGCTCGCAATATGCATTGAGTAGATATGTGATCTCCTCCATCAACTCTTCACTCGGATCGGGCAATCCTGGAAGGCCAAGATGACGGAGGTCTACGTAAGAGAGCGCAGCCTCCACAGTGGCTCCGTCGGACGGAGAGGAACTCCCATTCCATGCAGGAGGCATTACTCTCTTCATTGGTACCCGACGGTAAAGTTGACCGAGAAGTTTTGTGCTATTGTAGTACTGCCCGCCGGTGATATCAGCGCCTTCTTTGGCAAGAAAGTCTGGCCTGGCTTGAGTCTTCCGAAGCCAAGGTAAGGATCTGAAGTTAACAGGAGTGCCGCTCTTCGGAAAATCAAGTGCCTGGGAAGCAAAATTCGCGAGCTGAATGCATTCTGTACAATTTGGAGTATTCAAGTCAGAAAACCTGAGATGACTTATGGCGATGGGACCGATGAGGTCGGCCTGAATCTATTTTTGACAGTTCATCTCGCAGTCATTTGAACTTGAAGTCAGGATGCAACTCACATAGTCAATTACGAAGTCTGCGACATCGGAGATGCCGCATACATTCGGGATCGATCTGATGGTCACTGCCGGATATTCTCCGGGTTCGAACTGTTTCGTTGGTAGCAGCCTCGGCTGCGGAACGCTTAGGCATGAATGGATGTATCAAAACTTTAAGCTTACATCGAGAATTAGGTTGAAAATGTCACCATCAAGATCGCCTCCACCCAGACATGATGCAAGCGCCCGTTCACCCCTGTGGACGATATAATTCAGTGTGCCTTTGTTTGAATCACGAACAGAACTTACTTGCAGGAAAAAACGACGACATTTTTCAAATGCTCCAACTCTGGCCGTCGCACAGCCGTCACAACCTGCAGGTCGCCTGGGTGAATCTGTGGGCTGCGCGTTATGGCAACCTGTCCCGTGATGCTCTCAACAAATCCCGTCCTTTCATCAAACACGGTCGCGTATATTTCTCCTTCTCTCAGGCAGCCCCATTCATCGGAAACGCCAAGCAAGGTATACGAACCTGGCACTGATATGTGCGCCCGGTACTTTAGTTCCCGCAGGATGTACGTCTCGACGCACTGCAGAGAGCTTTCAATGAGCTTGTTGGTCCACAGCCACGGGTGATCTTCCGTGTCTCCAATTTCGAGTTGCAAAACGGACGATAGGTTTGCGAAGAGAGATGGTAGATGGAAAGATGCCCCAAGTCCGTGTTGCTGAATAATTTTTGAGGCATCGGTACACGACGATCGGACGGATTGAGCTTTGCGTATGTCATCGTCCTGTAGTTCAATAATTCTTTGAGTATCCACATCCAAGAACTCCATAAGAGATATGAGCGGACGATTGAGAAACACCGGTATTGGTTCCGCTGATGTCGATTGGACGTCAAATGTGAGATTCTCGGGGGAATCGAACTTGATCTGTGATGGACGAAGGCGGACGAGTTTTCCTTGAATTGTGGGGTCTTGGACGACCATGCCTTTGGCCCCGCCAAGTCGAAATTGGAAGGCCGACGGAACATGTCGTAGCTTCGCGGATCGCTTTTTTCTCTTCTGCATAGACCTCCATATCTCCTTGGCAAGCTCAACTGATATGGAGCTGCACCCATCTGTCATGAGCCCGCCTGAAGGCGAGTATCTGTCGGGACAACGAAAATCTACTTCTTCGGGAAGAAGTGTGATCGATGGATCAGTGCCAGAGAAGGCTTGAGACCACCTTGCAGCCAAACGAGCTGGTTGTTTGTGAAGTTTGGAGAAATCGCCCTAATATTTGCATTCAGTCCAAGATATCGACGAAAGCCGATGGCAAGAACTTACCAAGTTGTCTCGTATTGCTTGTGCATTCAGCAATTCCCCATCCTCATCCTCAAATGGCGTAACAAACCACACCGAATGTTCTTTCAGACCGCTCATAGAATATCCCAAGAACTGGAATTGGCGTCCAGCGACGCGACAGCCGTCGAGGAGGATATTGCGATATCGCACCCTCAAAAGGTCTATAATGGTGCAATCGGGTTCCCGATGAAGCTTCGATCCATTCTCATCCTGGAAACAGACACGCAGGAAGCACTCGGGATGTCCGTATCGGCGTAAAACACTATTGGACTGGTCCGGGACAGGCCCCTCTAGGATATACCGCGTGGGCGTTAGGATGAGATGATAGGATAGGTAGACCCCACTCTGTGGTGGCGGAGCTAGAAGAGGACGGGGCTTTTGGTGCTCTTTGATAAATTCTTGGGTAACGCGGCGAAGAAGAGAAGGCAAACTCTCTTGACTGGATTGCCGTCGTGCCGGACGTTTGCGATGTTTTGTACGACTCGCACTGCGTCCTGCAAGCTCCGAGGCAAAGGACCGAAATATTTCCGGCGCATCGTCACCATGTTCAGCTTGTAATGATAGGATGGCCTCCTTCAGCGAAAGAATGTCCGTCACACTCAAGAGAGAATCTGCAACAGTCTTTTCTGCTTCGAACCCAAGCTTGTATGGGATCTGAGAGAGTGACTCGTGAAGCTTCTCAACGGATGTACCATTCGAGATGTGATTATGAATCTTGATATGGTGTTGTGTGGAGCAACGCAGATGGAGACGATTGCGGCATGTATAAGTGAACCTATCTGCCTCTGACTGGTTTTGAAAGGCCAGCATCAGACTATGACATCCTGGAGGCATTTTATGATTACGCCCCAAGCCCGCCATACGACTAGCGTTGTCCATCATGCCACCAAGCAAGGTGTACACAGGAGGCTCATCGGCACGAACGAACACAACAGTGGTATCTTCATCCCGGTTACCCACTAGTGTTGCGATATTATGAGGCGCATAGGATGCATTGATGGATGTGGTGATGCTTCGTCCAAAAATCTCCATCAAAGAACCGAGATCAAGGCCGGAGGGGTTGTTATATGTGTTTTGTTGAGGCTCAAAGGTGAAGCGTACCTGCCGATTCTCCAGATCACAATTCACGTTAGCTGTACCAGGAAGGGACACTTGTGAAGAAAAGGATCCGTCCCGGAGGAAACGGCCGAACGAATAGCGGAGAAGCTGGAAAGACTTGTTTCTCCTAAGAAGCCTTTCCTGCTCTTCTCGCAACTGCATTGGGTCGCGCCATGGAACCTTATTCAACCTCTCAATACGGGACTCGTGGATCGCCTGCGTGCTCCTGCTAATGAGGATTGGTCGACCTTTGACGACAATCCCTGTGACACCATGAGCACGCAAGAAGGTGACCCCAGCATCCTCTGTTGGCAGAGTGAGGGTGCCTTGCTGTCCGTTAGGGTGTGACTCGTCTGAGAAGTGTATTTCAAAATTCAGGAGAGGACTGGTTTGAAAAGGAGGCTTGTGAAGTATATTGGCGAACGCAATTGTCAAGTCTTCTGTAGTAACTGCCAGAGGGATGTTGTGCAAGGAAATTTCCATCTATCCAGTTCATTGTCAAGTATACGTTTAGATCGTGAAAGGGTCACTCACATTATGTGACTGTCGACTGGTAACAACGAGAAAGACGATAGCGTCGGCACTTGAATATAAGCTGGGTTTTGATCATGGACAAACGCCCTACGGAACCCAAATGAGAAGATAACCACTCATGTGGGTGTAACATCATGGCACGGGGTCATGATACTGCGCATCTTTCCCTTTCCTAACAATCACTCAGTATCAGGCGCCGTGCCAAGCTATCGGATTGGAATGCAAGGCAAATGAAACACCACTTCTTCTCCCCAGCGGTGCTATCGGTCGGCTAGATACATCAATGTATACAACTGACAACTGCGATAGTGAGCCTGTACCGTGATAAGTTCGATGCCAAGACTAGGAATACGGCAATCGTGAGTTTCTCCACCGTTCTATCGTCACTGACTAGGTCTTTTCTGACCTGAGCATCCCTGCTCTGAGCGGCGACGATCAATTCTATCTTTAGTCCCATCTCGCCATCATGATACAGCTCACCTCACGTGCGTGATCTAGGTCTTGTGATGGCGACAAGAAGCCAAGGAAGTGCTATAACCAAGTATTTCGAGTGTGATCTGCCAAACAAGATTTGAATATTTATATTTTGATAGGAGAGTATGAGTCAACCGTCCTTGTCCTTCTTGAGATGCGAACTGCCACATGAAAGTAACCATATCCTTCCATGGATCCACAGCATTGGCCTCCAAAACCCCTGAGCCGTATCCTGTTGCAGAAGGTGGACATACTTGGTTATATTGCACTTAACAAAGTTCTTGATTACTTCAGGCAATATACGTGTCTCCTTATCCTTGATTCCTCCATGTTTGGTGGTTGATCCTTCCGGGGCACAGTACCTCGAAGGGCCATGATCATGGGGCTCACTTCGGACATGCTCGGTCACCAGAAATTCTGAAACATAATCGTCCAATTTTACAACACTTCTCCAACATCTAAGAAGAACCCGCCGTTTTGCTTCATCCAGGACCGTAGATTGAGCTGTGAGACAATAATTCATCGTTTCAGCAGCTTCCCACGCCTGTAGGTCAACCGTTTGAAGAACATGGCTCCAGAGTATAACACCAGGGGTATCAAGCACGGGCGCTCCAAAACTTTTGATAATGTCCTGGACAGATGAGTGAGGCGTTAGCAAAGACAAATAAAGCGGTCACCTGGATACTCCTTATCCTGTAATGGAGTACGATCAGCTCATCGACGGCAAGTATGCTCTGGTTTCGGGTTCTTCCTTTGCAAGCAGATCACTTGCCGAAGATAGCAGTACTGAGAGCGCATAAAATAGAACAGAGAGGCGAAGATGTCGTCAAGATGGCGCGTAGCATTACCATTACTATTGCAGGAAATTAGCTGCGAGTCACCGAGAGTAATAAACATACAGTGCGATGGATAACTTTGGCAAGTTGCTGATGGTTAATAGAGCTGCTGCAGAAACAGAAAATAGAAGCTTCGCCGATGTGCATTCAGAGCGCAAGTAGACACCAGGAGGAAGATATCATTCCCACAAATTAGGCTCAAGACTTGGACTTCGGACGTGTTCGGACCTAGAAAACTGATATGAATCTCAATGAAACCTCATCACTGGTCAGAAAGCCTTCCGAAGAATGAGGGGTGTGTAGACCATGTCTTTGACAGCATCTTTGTACTCCTGCGGGACTCATTGGGCGACATCATCCCGACATGATCATTTGGCAATTTTGCGACGACCTTTTAGGGTACTATTGTGGGGCATGGAACTTTGCAGAGAAATACGAGTCATTTAAAGACTACTTGGAGTGGTAAATGGGATCTTATGGGCTAGGCCATTGTTTAGGCCATGAATGAAGAAAAAAGTATCGCTTGCCGGGAGCGTTTGTATAGACTATGCGTGCGAATTTTCACGTCACGTTGACAAAGTTATTATATTTCGTGCAAAGTCGTTACACACTTCTGCCAAAGCGTCTCTCTATATCGTGGTCTGTGCATACCCATTTCGCAGTGCTCCACGACTTGCTGGCACTATATGGTTGACTCCGCCAGCGATTCTCTAGGCCCCATCTCTTCTGCGACCGTCTCCTCAGTCCTCGGCATAAAGGGGTCCCTTCGTTTTCGCCGGCATGGTGCAAGTCAGAAGGCACACGTCGTCCTACGACGCGTAGAACTTTCAGAAGAGTCCGTACATGACTCTGGTAAAAGGCCTGTTGCATACTTTAGCCTTTTTGCGCAGAAAAGAATCGAAGTCAAGCCTGGCAAGGAGATTTTACTAGCCGTAGCTTCCGAGGATGGATCTTTCACAGACCAAGCCGTCATCTTCGAAGGAGATCTTGTTGCTTCAGATACACAACCTGATGCCGAACAGGAAACGCAAGATGATGTCGAACATGTTGTTGAGGTTCCATTCGTACCTCCAAAAATGAGGAGAACGTGGAACAAGGCATATGAACAGGTGAGCGTAGTGCCAGGTGAGTGATACATGCTTGACCACGGGGGTTCTTTTCAATGTGCTATTTACCATGTAGATAGCGCCCACCGCCCGCCACCTCTACCTGAGCGTGTATCAGTGGGTATCCAGGCTCAGCCATCATGGGCAGTGAGTTCGGTCCAGGCAGTTCCAACAACATCTCCTGTTCGAATTGGGCAACACCCATCACTTCCGGAGGACAAAGAAGATTTGAGCCTCGATACACGCCTGTCGGAGGTAGTGGGACTATATCCTGCTCCTCAAAAATTAACTTTATCTCCGACTCTTAATGCTGCTGTGAGTGCACTTTTCACTTACTTACAAGCGTGATCCTGAGACGCAGTAGATAATGGACGAAGATCGTGAACGTAGCTTGTCACCAATGAGTTTGGGCTCTCCTTCTAGCACCCCTCCTCAATCTCCCATTATCGAGCGCATACCGAATGTTTTTAGAGTTCAAAGTCCTGTAACAGAACCTCCAAAAAGCTCTCAAGACAGCGGTATGGACCTTTCAAGCGACTCGCAAGATGAGAAGCAGATTGAAGATGATCTTCGCCACCCAGGGGATACTAGCAGTTTACCTGCAGAACCTAGCACTCCCACTTCCGAGACTGCTGATATGGATCTCCAGTCCTCTCCTAGTTCTGCATCTTCCTCGTCGTCTGATATACCTGGTCTTGTAACTGGTCTATCATGGCGTGCACCTGCGCCACCTCATCGACCCGTGGAACCTGTGCTGGAACAGCCAAGTTCACCCCCGAAAGCAGTTATCCCCTCTCTCCCGTCTGTGCAACCCCTTATCTCTGAGCGAATACATCCTTCCCTAAAAGAGTCTCCACCTTCTGCGGTGCCTCCTACCGTCAATAAACCTGCGACTCTTCCCCCAAAACTCACAATAAGTGTTCCAAAGAAATTGGCGATTGTCAATCCATTCGTTTCTGGTGGATTCATGACAGAGTTTGTTGGTTCGCCTGCATCGCTCACTGCTCAAAAATCGCTACCACCGAAGTCTCGCACCGGCTCACCGAACATGTCTGAGGCACAGGCAAGTATTACAGTTCTGATCATGGACCATGAGACTCATATCTTAATCACTCAGTCAACTCCTACGCCCATCTCAACACCTGCACCCCCACGCTCGAATCCTCCACCTCAAGCACCTACATTTGTTCCTGCTTCTTCCACTGTGTCCGCTTCCCTATCCCCTTGCGCACCTTCATCTCAGTTTTCAACAAAGGCTTCCCCTCCACCTCCAGCAGTGCCTGCAAGGCTCTCTGCTCAAGAGCAACGTCTTCTTGCAGCCCCCTTACCTCCAACCCCTCCATCTGTACCTCAGCCGCCACGAACTCAAGCATACCCCAGTTCTCTCCCCCCTCGTCCGTCAGAAACTGTGATCGCTTACTCCAATAAGGCGCCTTACAAGCCCGGTTATTCACCTTTAACGTCAGCCAGTGATGCAAGAATATCCTATAATGCTACCGGAACAATATCTAATCCTTTGAACATTCGCCCTTCACGATTTTCCCCACTCAAAGCTACTCCAATCCAATCCCAGCAAGCGCCGAAGAAACCGTTGACAATTGGTAATGGCTGGCCGCACACACGACAGGCCAACGGACACGGCTCTACGTCTATATCCCCTGTGACATCCAAGGCTTTACCACCACCTACAGGTACTCATCGACCCCTCACGCCCGAGAGCACTCGCTCGTCAACAACACCACCAGGTCTATCAAATTTCGTCGCATATACCTCCCCATCTCCTCCTGGTTTTTTGCATAAGTCGCTAAGGGATAAGCCGCCAACAGACTCTCCATCCAGTTCCGGCGAGCCCAACGTCAAACACGGTAAGGATGCGTCTTTGTTAGAATCCTTGCTTTTTGTTTATGTCTTTCCAGAATATTTGGATGTTCCATTACCACCCACGCCTACGACGACTGTGAAGCAGAAAATCTCAATACAGTCGCCACGACCTGTGTTACCCGCCTCAATCACGTCTCCCAGCATTTTCCGATTTTCCACTGAGTCCAACAGTGCAACACCGCCGTCCGACAGCAAAGGCAAGAAACGGGCGATGTCTACAGCGTCTGATGCAGAAAGCACGCGCCCGCGGAAGCGCACACATCCCTGGCCCACACAAGAGAGTATGTACTCCACACGGATCAAGAGTGATAGCGATGCTGGCGTCAGAGAGATCGTTTTCAGCTCAGACGGTGAACGGATGGCTGTCGTATGTTCGTCTCTGCTGTTCTTTTTTATTCTCCTACTTGGTGCCAATCTCTTAAATATAGGTCATGACCGGACAATCCGAATATGGAGTGTATCAAATCGAGTCGAAACTGCCCGTCTTGCGCAAAACTCGCCAATATCATCGGTTGCTTGGATGGCGGATGACAATGGTATCATCACGCTGGGACAAGATGGTATGATCAGTAAATGGACGCGAAACGCAAGTGTTGATGTTCTTGGTCTTGAAGTTGACTTTAGCTTACCGTTTGAGCCAGAACCAGAATCATTGGCAATGGGCAAAGCTCCTCGATGCGGGGAAGGAGGAATCCATCAGCTTCACCTACAACAGGGATCGCCTTGCTGTTGCATTTCCTCGCTTCGGTGTAAGGGTGTGGCTATGGATCAAAGGTATGTCCTTCTCTCGGGTTTCAGCAAGCATTATTATATCTGTCACAGGCACATGGCAACCACAGCGGTCCATTCTTCGACAAAACGTGACATGTATCAAGTTCGTCGAGGATGGTGAGGCATTACTCGGAGGCACTAGCGATGGCGTGTTGTAAGGGTTCTTACAAGTGTTGCGCCGGTAACTTCTGACAACAGATCGCAACAGATGGTATTGTCAAGTGCCCAATGGAACCCTCCGAGCCTACGCATTTCTCAAAGCTAAAATGCATGAACCTATTTCTGATTGCCTAATCTCACGACTGACATGATCTATGTGACAGACGACATCTGGATGTCAGTCCGAACGGAACACAGGCCCTTGTCTCTCAAGTGGGCGCTCGTGCTCATCTTGTAGGCATTCAAGGGATGGATCGCAAAGGCAAAATCGAGCAGGTATATGCGATGAACGGAGATTCGACAAGTGACGCGAAACAATCCACCCCTGCGGTGTTCGTCAATGGTGGTCGTTCTGTGGTGTTCCATAGCAGAGAGTCTTCTTGTTTGGTCTGGAACAAAATGAAAGGCGAGGTTTTGAGTGGTCTGGATCATGGAGATGGTGAGTTAATTGTAATTAATTTTTGGCTTCTCGCTGACTTCGTGACTTCTGATGTAGATGAGCAAACCCAGGCCGTCGCAGTCAGTATACTTAGTTTCCTTTTGCGATGTGTGGTATTGAATTGTGTCATAGGGCTTTGACCGTGCATCTCATTCATACATCGTCACGGGAACTGCACAAGGCCTTTTGTCGTGGTGGAACTCCCCTCCCGATCAGTGACTTTAGGTAAGAACTTATGGTACTACTTTTAGCACACTTGCTCATCAGGAACATTGTCTCCGTGTCAAGCAACCTTCTTGATTAATTGGGTGAAACATGCTAATCATTCCTAAATTCCCTCTGGAAGGATGCAATGTACCAGTACTTTGCATGTGCAACCTACCTAAATTATGATATGAGCATTCTATAATTTTTGTACGGACATTATGCAGCTACTATCCGTCATGTGGTGATTTGAGGATAATTGATTCGGAACCTGTTTCATTGTGGACAAATCCTCATGATAATGACTAGTGTTTGGCATTATTTGGCTGATTAGGGCCGGTTCGTCGGGTCAAGCCTGTATGATCAGAAGTCGTAGTTGAACTCCTTCGTTGCTCGTCGTCGTCGCCAACATCGACACCGTACTTTCTCATTTCTTCCACCGACGTACGTTCGTCCGCCTTCTCCGCTTTTGTCGTCATTCTTCGCTGCTTAACCAATCCAACTGACCTAGGTCCTGTTCGTAAATTAGAGTCAACCTTCTCTGTCGTGATTGGGTTAATAGCATTTCCTCGCTTCAACTCTCCTCCTTGAATTTTCCGGAAGAATTGGTAAGACGTCTGTTCATTTGCCCTATTACCCAACAGCCGAGGTTTTCATCCTTCATGGTTGCGCGGTTGTCATGCAGCCCCCTGCATGCTGCAGGCGTTCTAAAAGCGGCCCTTAAATGCGTGGTTGACGCGTGTGCTGACTGCTTTTTTCATTTTGATAGCCAAGTTTGTCACGTAGAACCATCTCAACGACATGCAGACTATCAAGGTTGTAGTGGTGGGGGACGGTGCTGTAGGCAAGGTGCGTGACGTGTTATACTTGTATGCTCCGGACTTTGAACTGTGTGCCCCGATATCGCCAGACTTGTTTGTTGATCTCATACACCACGAACAAATTTCCAAGCGACTATGTTCCGACTGTAAGTTGGCTCCGCAAGACCGCCAAACACTATGTGCTAAATAAGCGCAGGTCTTTGATAACTACGCTGTCACCGTAATGATTGGTGAAGATCCTTACACGCTAGGTCTTTTCGACACCGCCGGTTCGTGTCTTTTTGTAGTCTCCGTCGTAGTTACACTTCATACAATCGCTCACACATCACTTCCACATAAAAGGGCAAGAGGATTATGACCGTCTCCGGCCACTGTCATACCCCCAAACCGACGTCTTCCTTGTTTGCTTTAGTGTAACGTCACCTCCATCCTTCGAGAACGTGAGGGAGAAATGGATTCCAGAGGTGCACCACCATTGTCCGGGTGTCCCATGTCTTATCGTTGGGACGCAAATCGACTTGCGGGACGATGCTCAGGTGATCGAGAAGCTCTCCAGGCAGAAGCAACGACCGGTGCCGACCGAGCACGGCGAGAGGCTTTCGAGAGAGCTTGGTGCTGTCAAGTATGTGGAGTGCTCAGCCCTGACACAGAAAGGGTTGAAGAACGTCTTCGACGAGGTCGGTGAAATCTTTGATAAATCATACCTGAATGATTGGCTGATAACCTACAAGGCTATTGTCGCTGCACTAGAGCCACCCGTGGTTAAGAAGACACATAAATGCGTCGTCGTTTAATGAATGATCCATCACGACGGTACAGCTTGTTCTATCTTCTTATGACTCCTTTACGCCTTGTTCTGCCTCATATATCCTTCTCATCTTTTTTATGTCGTTTCCCTCGTTGCGCCAAGACATCATGATTTTCCCCAGTCCTGTAGCATCTGTTCTCTTCCGCACGAGCTGAGTGGATCTTGAGGCTATGCTCGTGCTCTCAGAGAAGCTGATCTCATCCGTCTTTCTCACTCCACAATTGATGAGTAGTTCGTATTGTCGGAAACTGTTGGGTTTGATAGGAATTTAATACCCACGACGGGGAGTTTTTATGTCTATTCATTACAGATTAGAGATGGCTTCGAAGTAGTGCAGAATTGTGTGTTGGCGAGCCTCTCGAAACACAGATCTGACTGCAGTTTCAGATACTATCCCCATCACGTACATAGGTCATTTCTTGATTATAGTAGCGATAGCTCAGGTGCCTTGTAAGGATAAGTGAGATGTGTCGTCTAGAGGTGCTGTGTGATAACTCACCATCGCTCGACTCTCGAATGCAAGCCAATCTCCTGTTCCAGTCGGTATAAGACCCATAGAACGACACTTCCAGAGGCCAACTGCAAGTGTCAACAAGTTGCATGCGATGTATGCTATCTTCTGGAGAGGAAGGACCTTGAGTGACTTGACGCTTGCAGGTGTAGGCGCAAATGGTGCGAATGCTGCCTCGACAATAAGAGATGTGACGGTTATATTTCATGAAACCGACATACCTGCATTCATACCAGCAATATTTTTAAAAGGCGATAGAAGAAGCATGAACACGATACCCATGCTGAAGATTTGAACGCCTCCCCCAGACATGTACAACATAAATGCCTGCATAGGAAGAGACTTGGCTGGCGAGATAGCGAGATCCCAAGCACGTTTGTCTTTCAGCGATGCATACGACGATGACGTTGCTGCTGTTGGAGCCTTGGCTGGTGCTCTGGACTGTCGAAAGTATTAGCTTAATGAACGGTTAGAAATGAGCATAGGACTGACGCTTGGAGCAAAGCTTGAAAACCCTGGAGGAGGAGGAAGGTTCCTCCATTTACTGTGATCTATGGATGTATATTCCAGGTTGAAGCAGTTTGCCATTTTTGAAAGCACCGTCTGAGTGGGTGGGTGTCAAATGTACAGAGTGCTACGTCCCACCATGAGACAACATAAATTCCAATTAGGCAATTGAGTTCGGCATTCGGCACTTATTGTAACTTATACGTTCGTAGTCTAAACATTTGAAGTGACTAGCTAACAAGAGACTCTGCCCTAGATGTCAATACCTGAAGCATGGTGGACGCTGGTGATACGCCGATGTTCAAGTGTAGCAAATAAATCCACATCTTTACTCTCACAGTTGAATAAGATGAAAAGTTATTATTCAATATTTCCTGATACGAGAGGAATTCATGATATTGAAGCAATCAGTCTAGTACTGTGCAAGGGAGACATCGACGTGTCCTGTCAGGACCACATTTAACCTCATAATACACAAAAAACATACGGTTCAATAATGTCAAGGGCACCTGGGAGCTTGCCACTCTCGAAGATGAATGTCGCATCTCCGGTCTTTGACCTTGTTAAAATGTTACTTTGGAATCAGGCGTTGTGAATAGACCAGGCAGGTCATTCACACTTCTCAAGTTCTGTCGTGCCGAATATGCTTCGAGACCTTTTTGACGGGTCTCTGGGTCTGAAGCGCGGTCAGTTGACTCTTCCGTATTAGCCACTCGGAGGAGTTCGGTGCGACGGGCAACGAAGTCATAGAGTGGAACAGCATATCCACATGACTTAACGGAACTGTTAGATTGAAAGAGACTGGAGAAGATGGGGTATGACCTACCGTTTGACACTGATACACATCGATAGCGATGACTGCACGAGAGCCTGGCTTCCTAATCTCAGGAGAAATAAGAGATTCGTATTCTTCTGTGCCACATTCGTATACAGTTCCTGCACTCAGATGTCAGAATGTAATTGAAGAAAGACCCTCAGTTTGTAAGCACCTATTCCAAACAATCTCAAAATCCTGGGAGGTCCCTCAAAGGCATTGAACAGGATCGTTATGCGACCATTCTAGGAGATTGTTTCCATTCCTTACTCTCATAGATAACTAGCACGAAAATTGATCGGTACTCACCGCTCTTGGTCAAATCTTGATACCAAACTCGGTGAGAGTTCACGACATGGAAACTATCTGCTGTGCCCTTGGCGGAAAGATTTACATGACCATCAGGACTCAGGAGAGCCGAAGCCACCCAAAACATGTGTTGGTTATTGATCCATTCGATGAGAGATTTAGGTATCTCATCATAGAACTTGGCCATGGATAGTAGATGATGCAGCTAAATTGGAGTAATGAGCCTTGTTATCCTTCCGAAATACTTCGGCTCTAGGCTCGGGACCAGCCCGGCTTATAAGTCTGCTTCGGCTCCTCAAAGCTCCCGTAGTACGTCCAGCGCAACGTACTAGGAACGTGATGCTGATAAGACCTCGAAAACCTCGTCAGCTGCAGATTTGCTTCCGACTTACCAGAGTACTAGTAGTAGGAACAGCGACGGTAAAAACCTCTTGACTACGAACAGGACAACATTCTGGCGCTTATCCAGAAGGCTCTGTCCCTCGAGAGTTGTAGGTGCTTGGAAACAGAAGTAAGATCGTTCGTCATGGTCATTTGGGACAGGGAGCAACCGTTGGTCACTGAGTTTAACTCGGAGGACATGTACTATGTCTGGCGACATTTTCCTTGAAATCTACTTGGTTTTGCAAATGCAGTTGCTTGATGCGCTGTCATTGAGCTAGAAGAGCCTGGCCAGTGGCCGTCAACAAGGAATTATTCATGCCGCCAGCGGGGGCCGACTTACTGTGAATTAATATTAATAAAACACTCGGCCTTTGAAATTTATGTAAGGGCCCTCTTAGCGCCTGACGGCGCTAAGTTCTGGAATTAACTCTCTTCCTACCGTCGTTCCCGCATTGTTATGTCTCTCCAGCCATTCACCTCTCTGTACCGATATGCTGTCGAACCAATAGCACCATTTACCTGGTTTGGTACCAAGGTCTCTTCTCTCGATTTGGTAGCCGTGTTTCGGCTTTGTATCGCTTTGAGACAGATGAGGGAAAATTTGTATGCTAAACACCAGCGAAGCGCTGGAGAGGATAGACCTGCACTTGCAGAGGAGAGGTCCTTCGTGAGAGACGCATGTGCCATGCTGACCATTGTATTTGGAGGGGAGGCTATCATAGGTACTGCTAACTTGTTGTGTAGGGAAATGTCAGAGCTGCGCATACTGACCGCTCCCTATGCGCAGGCCCTCTCCTTGGTATTCTGCCATCTTTCATGTTCTCCGGTGTTTCTCCTGGATTGTACATTGCCGCACAAGCGATTGTAGAGTATATCCCTGTCCTGCCGTCCGTGTCACTCAGCACCGAGCTTCCTTTATCCATTGTCGACGGATTTACCCGGGCAATGCTCCTCTGCAGCCTCATACCACCACCCGTTATCGCCCACACATCCCCCATTATCGCATCTTCCCCGTGGGCTCTCCTTCTCTCGTCTCTCGTATGTGATCGTTTCCCATTATGATTTCCGTCCTCATACCTCTAACCACTCTTTCCTACTACAGGTCATCACCAATGGCGGCTTTTTCTTGACGAACATGTTCTCATTCATGGAGCCCACCCCGCTTACACTTACGACTCCCGATGAGCTCAAGCCCTATGGCTGGACAACCACTGACATCTGGTCCGCCCCGTTTATCACGGGGCTCTATGCCCTCCTCACACATGCCCAGCCTTTCTGGGCCGAGTTGCACAGTGTAATTTCGACTGCCCTCGGAGGTGCTGGCAGTAAAGCTGGTCCTATGGATGCAGAGTCCGCCCGTGCGCTGTGCGCGCTAATTCTCGCGGCATTGTTTTCCACTCGGACTGCGAAGAACTTTGGGCTTATCTGGAAGAAGAGTGAGTTTTATGAGTTGTTTTTATGTTGTGGCGGTACTGATGGTTCTCTAGGCGTTGTCGAGAAGATCAAGACACAATGAATACCCAGCACGATATCTATTTATACCGCTTGCTGTAGATCTACATGACATTTATGAATGATATGTCCTTGCCACAAATAGTGTACGAGTGGTCCAGCGGTGCGTTGAGAGTCCGTTGAGAAACTCTCAAGATGTAAAGCCCTACAGACACTGAGGCTTGAGGCCTTCTGACTTCAAGCTCCGATTCTCTGATTCTCCACTCCCAACTCAGCAGACCTTGTCTCCCTGCCATGTTCATTCCTGACAGTCGAGCCACGAGACTGCGCAATTGATCTATTGTCCTTTTCCATGAGATGGATGAAAATGCATGTCAGACTAATGAGCTACCAGCCATCTAGGCTTCGTGGTCACTTCTTCATCAGGCAGCACCGCAAACGCGTAGAACAAGCTGTCTGGGCACTTGCACTGATTCTAGTTGTATTAATTTCAATATCCGGCAGGACCAGGTTGGTTGCTAGACGTTCCGGATTATTTCAACTTATCACTTGGTGCAAGCATGAGTGAGTAGTTACTTCGTCTCCTCTTCCTAAGCAATGTTGATGCATAACAAAAACAGGCCACTTGACTTGTTCTGATGCATCAGAATAACACTATAGCCTGTCTTTTGACTCAGGACTGCCACCTCTAAGTGGGTACAAATTTGGTGCCTATGCCGCTGTGATAACTGTTCTCGTTCAGTACAGCAGGAGCACTAGTGGTGTAACCTTTTTGGCATATATTGACCTTAGGTTCATTTCACAGTTCCTTGCGCAGTTCAAGTCCAAGCTGTGTTCCCATTGATCGGACCGCCCGTCGAAGCACCCGCACTTGATCAGGTGCTTGCGACGATAAGTCGACGATTTTCAGATCGTTTAATTATCGTCGGGATGATTCTTTGAAATGGACGATATTTCGCCAGTAAGAATTGGAGATTCTTGCTAATTTTCAACTTGTCAATCATTCATTTGTCGCATGTAGCCTATATACATCAGATCCTCCGAGTCCCGAGTCCTGATACACATTCTGCTTCTTCCTGCGACATTTACATTTACAGTTATCCGACAGGCCCGTATATGCGGAAGGCTCCCATAGGCCAGGATGTTGTAGACTGTAACAGGCCAGGCAACTGTCGTAAGGACACAGGGAAATGCAAACAAGCATGCATCGAAGAGGAGTCTTGCTAGTGATAAAGGTATATACTGGTAGTATGCTAGGGTCCTCAAAACGCGCACGAAAGACGGTCCAAGCACGGTCTGCAGCACCTGGTGGGTTTGCAAATCCTTTCGCACTAAATGGATCTCAATCAGCACGCCCTCCGAACCAGCAGGCAGCAGCACACCTCGTACCTCCTGAGTCTATTCCTCCTCATCCTCCGCAGTTCTTCGATAATATCATAATGCTGCCCAACCACCAACAGTATGATGCATATGTGCGCCCTACAGGCACAGATCTATTAAGCGCTCATTTCACAGTTTTGCAGATGACTTGACACCTTCGACACTACATCCGGTTTCCGTCTCGGACATCTTGACATTCAATACTGTTTTTCTTCGGCAGTCCTACCTCCATCACTTTCTTTCACGTTGGCACAGTGCTTGATCGCACGATATACAGTTCGTCGCCGGAGTTGATGGATGTGCTCACTTTTATACAAATTTTCCTGACGCTTCGACTGAACTCCCGAATAAATTACTGTAGCGTTGATAGAAGACCTCGGGCTCAGGCCTCATGTCATTCGACTTATATACGTTTTACATCAGTAAAAATTGGTGTCTTCAGCCGACATTGAGATAGGTGTGCGTGACATTGAAGATCATTCGAAAGAGGCGGCTACTTGAAGACCAGGCTAGAACAGTTCCAGTCGTTGGCGGTGTCGGTAATTTATTCCCAACGTGATTTTGGGGGTGTTTGTGCTGAAAGCTTGCACACGTAGAAGAGCTCCTTATGAGATCACGTAGTCATCGGTGTAACACAAGTCAAAGCGTGATAGGATTGAAACAAATAGTCCACTCTCTTCGCTCTCGCTGGCCGAGCCCCAGGCATGACAGCTCTCCGAATATTTTTATAGGACAAGGACCGTTCTGCACAGAGGACTCAGACGAATTGAAGAAACCGTGACACAATGGGTTGAATATATCTCACCTTATTCATCGCCTCGTACGCTTGAATGATTATACCAAAATGATGAACAAAGATATGGTACCGTAAGGATAGAGCGAATCTATCGAGTGTCCGGCGTAGTCATCGAATATATTCAGGCTCACTTGCAGGAGGTCACAAGTATAGCTCCATCCAGTTGCAGTGATAATGGTATGGAGATATTTCATTCATAAATTTCGCGCACATTTACATCTTCAGCGTTTATAAACCTATATAACTTCGGGTATTCACTGTATCTTGATCTTCTCAGCGACACCTGCACATGAGTTAAAAAGCCATCAGCGCCGACCACATCCAGAATAAGATAACTCACTCCTCTTCCAAACAAGCCCATAGTTCTTCGCAGTCCGGGTAGAGAACATTCCCGCAAGAATTAGCGCGCACAGCGCACGGGCGGCCTCTGGGTCCATAGGGCCGACTTTATCGCCAGTGTTTCCGAGGACGGTCGAGATAACGCTGTGGAGCTCGGCCCAGAATGGCTGAGCATGCGTGAGGAGGGCATAGAGCCCCGTGATGAACGGCGCACACCACAGGTCCGTGGCTGTCCAGCCGTAGGGCTTGATCGCAGCGGGAGTCGTAAGTGTGAGCGGGGTAGGCTCGAGGAAAGAGAACATGCTGGTTATGAAGAAGCCTCCATTAGCGATGACCTGTTATGGGCAAAAGCAGTTAGAGAAAGATCGAGACAGGATCGGGAAGGGACGACATACGAGAGAGGATAGCAAAAGAGTCCAGGGAGAAGATGCGATAACAGGGGAAGCGTGGGTGATAACAGGTTTGGGTGTGAGGCTGCATAGAAGCAACGCGCGCGTGAACCCGTCGACGATAGACAACGGAAGCTCAGTGCTGAGTGACATGGACGGTATAACAGGGATATATTCTACGATCGCCTGTGCGGCGATGTACACACCGGGAGAAACACCTGAGAGAACGAAAGATGGGGGAACAGCGAGCAGAGAGCCTGAAAGTGGAGAGCGGTCAGATGCATAATAGGTTCGAGTTGGCGAAGTACTTATGACGGCCTCTCCTCCAAATTTGATCGTGAGCGAGGTACATGCGTCTCTTAGGAAGGATCTCTCCTCCACAAGTGCAGGCTTGTCGCCAGAGCGGCGCTGATGCTTGGCATAAAGATCTTCCTTGGTCTGTCTCAGGATGGTGCAAAGCCGCAAGGCGGCCACCAATTCGATGGAGCAGACGTTGATACCAAACCAGCTGAAAGGTGCTATGGGTTCAAGAGCATACCGATACAAAGTTATGAATGGCTGGAGAGACATGACGGGGCCAAGGAATGGTTGAGGTCAAGGTTGTAGAAGACAAGCAGAAATCCTGAGACATTCTCCTTCGGCTCACTGAGCGCTTGAGCGCTCTGACACGCCTTTGAATAGTAAGCCGGCAGTAATATTAGCTGGCAGTCGGATTTCGGAGCAATCCCATGTGCACAGGCCACTCTGGACTTTGGACACTCGTGCATCATGATCAGCAATTTCATCGGTTGCTTATGAGCAAACCCTACAGAGCACCAGCCATCCACAGCATACAAGTACAGCAAGAAAACGTTCAAGGAAATGATCATCAACAATCTCGATTGTATTTATACCATACAGAGCCCCAGACAACAGTATTTGGAACAGCAAATAAATATGCGCAATACTGATAATCAAACCACGACACTGAACAACGTTAACGCGATTAGATTTGTGACGACCGTGAGATGTTGTTAACAGGTATCGCGAAGGGTCGCTCGGCTGGTCGGGCACGGCGGTCCTGGTTCCCGTTCCTCGCGCTGGCTGCATCGGTACTGTCGTCGACTATTCCAAACTTGAGATCGTCCAGGACGCCAAGCAAATTTATATCCCAATTCTGGAAGTGCAGATCGACAGCCGGAAAGTTTGGACACAAAGTGGGAAGGCTATCAAACAGCTGAGGTGCGTCCCAGCATACGTCCATCTTCTGGTCCTTGGAAAGTTCGGTCCAATATGCCGGGTCCATAGGGTGATCAATAACGTTAAGTATAAATGCACCTTTATACGCTGCTGCAGGTTCCTTCAGCTCAGACCCTGGGAACGTCGGAACTTCCATGAATACGTTGACAGCGAAATTAAAATATGTCAATTCTTCGGCAGAATAAATCATATTGCCGAATTGAAGAGGAGATGTGACCACACCCAGTTGGCTTCCTGAAAGTGGCTTGTATGAGGCTGAAACGCCGCGCTTAAGAGTCATGGACCATAGAGTATCTTCAGGGTTTTCTAAATTCTCGGGGTTTGATGGATGTTCCGTATGGAGGACATGGATGATTACGCCATACATATTATACCAACGTGGTGGGTTCATACATATGACCTCGCTGTTTCGAATTATGACCATAGGAATTGGCTCCGGGAACGCGTCCTTGTATCTTTCAAGGTGGTCTGGAAGCTGTTTCAAGAGCTTGATGGGATAGATCCTCGGGCGTCGCAGGTCATCGGGAAAGCATGGGTTTCGAGGGACTTTAGAGTAGTATCGGCGGGTGACAGCGTCCTTGTGCTGACAGAAGTCGCTGATCAATTGCGCGTATTGTCGAGCATCGGGCATGTCGAATTGAGCATGTTTTTGAGCACCAGGCATGTTGAAATAAGGCGGCAGACGCAGTGGCATGTCATAGTGCTCGTCTAGCTTTTCGTAGATCATCATCGGTATGATACTTTCCACCTCGAGAAATTCCCTCGGTATGCAGTAGGTAAATGGCGCAGGGAGAGTGGCTCGCAGTGCTGGCCTGTTCGATCCGGTTGAAGTTTGGGAATGGACGAAAGTCGGCCGGACCCGAGGGATTCGAGTGGCATCATCGCGTGCAAGTATGGTATCCGTATTGACGACCACGGGGATGGGCCGTGGTGCATATAGCAGATTTTGAGGCGCATAGTGCATATTGGCATTAATGTTGTTGCCATCCTCTTCCAAATCATATTGCGCGGAACCAGGGTGAGCGAACTGGAAGCCAGGGACCTGCATGCTCGTGTGCTCGGCTTGCATGATAGGTCAAAAAACCGATTCTCGTACCTGCTCGTGAAAACCGAAAGCGTCGAGACTGCTGGCGTACAGTTCATCATTACTTGATGAATGATGAGCAAAGCTCTGAGAGGGTGCGATGGTGGTGGACTGAATGTCACGCACGACGAGATGCGCGGGCTCATTCAGACTTGAAAAAGAGCTTTCAATCTGAGTTGACTGCATTATGTGATAACAAGCAAGAGACGAAAGGTGATGAGGATGCAGAGGAAATGCCTACTGTTTATATATACCATGGTTCATGCGCAAAGGTGGACGACAATAGTTGTTTTAAAAAACACACCAAAAACCCACGGTCATTATTTGTAACTGAAAGGTAACTAGGCATGGTACAATGGCGAAGCGGCTGTAATGGCCCTAAACCGGGAATGCGAGATAGTTCTTTACAGCGATCAAACTCATGAGTGCGCTGGTTCAAGACTGTCCCCTCCAGAAAACTTGGTGTCCACATGTTCCTTGCGCCGAAAGGTGTAATCGGACTTGGAATAATCGGTCCTTGATTGGCCAGGGAAGCAATTCCGCAACCTGCAGGATCTGCCGAGTTAGTCGTAGGAGATCAGGGCATGTCATCAGACGCGCTGTGGGTCGTGCTGCTCGCAAACCTTTTTATCCTTTTGTTCAAGAACTTGCAAGAGACTAGCGATTGTCATGACTGCACCACGACAAGCAAGCAGATGAATCTTATTCAGACAAAGCACACACCCGCCACATTGTTACAACAAAGGCTACCGTACCAGTTACCAAACGTAAGAGCAACTTTTGTCCACACCATCTAACAAACGGTCTAATATGCTTTAGCTACCACCGGGCCGACCCCGTGGTCACGATGTTTGGTCGGCCTGATTAGTTCCTGGTTGGTAGCATCCAAGGTCTCGACGCCTTGTTACCTCCCATGTCTGCTCCACATACCAAGCGTATTTGCCAGATAATCAAGGTACGTACTGCGAGTTCTCGCCTCAGTGTAATAAATGCTTAGACCCCTGATCTTTCATCATAGCTCAAACCAGAATGCGCCGACGAATACAAAGAGGTCCACAGGAACGTCTGGCCCGGCGTCCTCAACGCCATTAGACGGTACCACATCGTGGACTACTCTATCAACCATTACCCGCAGCTGAATCTGCTTATCGCAAACTTCAAGTACACGGGTAGTGACTTTGAGAAAGATATGAAAGCCATCGGGGACGACGAGGAGACGCAGAGGTGGTGGAGGCTCACAGATAGTATGCAGGAGAGCTTCAATGATGGTGCGTCTGGGAGTGGAAAGGATATCCCTTGGTGGACGGTAAGTTTCCTTTGTAGACTTGGGATTTTCACTTTCTTTGATAATTTGGTGAATAGGACGTTGAGGAAGTCTTCCGGTTCGAAGGGGGCTCTTCAGCATGATACGTTGACAGCCATTGCTGATGAGATTGACTACCTCACTGCGTGAATCAAGTATTGGATGGCAGCTATGCCGTCAGCGTGTAGTAAACCGTGCCATGATAAAAAAAAGGTTTGAGATACTAAGAGTTTGGGCTCAGGCTGCTGACTAGTTGGAAGGTAGTAGTGCGATATTGAAAAGGCAGAGAATGAAGTAAATTTGCTCAAGGCAAGAATGTGACTGGTTACAATTGCTCAAACTCGACGCGAAACGTAACTTCATTGACAAGACATGGTAGATTTCATCGGCGTGTACTCCGTATATGCGAACTTATCTAGTAACGTAGCTTCAGCCCACTCGTCGATCTGAAATACATTTCTAGTTAAGTGGCAAGGTTCAAATCGCATGACCAAGTGCATGAGTCGATGTAGTACCCACAAAAGCAACCTCTCCAACAACTGAGAGCAACGACTTCACACTGCTTATGTGAACTTTTCTGAATGGTGCATCCGTCTGAAAATTCACTACCGGCACCTGGAAAGATGCCACAGCCAATATCGACAACGGACGATGAATTCGTCACCATTTTCGTGAAACAACCAGAGTCAATCTGCGGAAGATGAATGAGGCTGAACATGTCGATAAACTCTTTTCGGAAGTGATGTGACTCATGCGGGGAGGGGAGGAGGGTATCGACTTGAGTGTCGCTGAATAAATTCTAGCACCAGGAACAACGGGCAATTATATAGGAAACTGATTATTGTGGAGCATAAAGCACACACGGAAGCGTTGCAGAGGCGGAGATGATGTAGATCTTTGTGAAAGGGGATGTGAGGTTTGAGTGCGGAGGCCAAATAGTAACAGTTAGTGTTGAGGTGTAGGCGAGAAATATTTGGTGCATAGAATTTGCTGAGTCGGAGAACAAGAAAGTCACATTCCAAGGCTCTCAAACGAGGTGTGTCAAAGTTGATATCCAAGCTACAAATGTAGCATGAGCTTGACGACCATTTCCAAACGCTTGCTCTCAGAAAGGAGGATATCGAGAAATCGCTAGTTTGCCGCGGGTATCATCCAAGGTTAGTGACTGCTGCGAGTGCAGTTGCGTCATGGGGCACTGTATACAATGCAAAGGGTGAAGGGTAAACAACCAGAGCGAGCAAGCCAACACTGAAGAAGACGTGGAAGAAATGGTTTAAATTAAATGATGTAACTTGCCCGGGGGGATGAGCTGTCGGATGCGCGACCAGACTCCTGCGCCAAAGGTGGCACACCCTGGTCAAGTCTAGGAGAGGGCTGGAAACGTTGACAGAAATGGTATCATGTCCGCATGAAAGATATCCGGATAGTCTGTAAAAGTTCCACTGGCAACCAATGGATGTACGGCTCTGACGGCGAGGACTTGAACAAAAAAAGGACGATGCATGAATTTCGTGATCTAGCAAATTTTCATCATGATGGGCTCTAGATCTCGCTAAGTGGATTAATCAATATGGGTTGTCATTACCTCCGAGCATCCCACTGGCACTGGGACCCTGCCTCTTGGCTACGTCGATCGGTCGGTTCCATGACTGGCTCGCCACCGATATGCAGTAACTCAAGCTTGGCGAGGGGCTCGATCGATCCTAGTTAAGCCTTACATACTTATTGTACGAAAGAATGAATTGTTTTTATACGGGCACGATTATGTAACAACCCCGTTTGGTATTAGTAGTACTGTTAGTTCGTGGTTTGCTTCAGCACTCTCGTCCAGGTACGTTATTCTCTTGTAGCTCGTATGTTACAGAACTTAGTCCTGACTCGTTCTACGTACTGAATAGTGCCTTTTCAATCTTGCTGAGTCCTGATTCGTTCTAGCTTCTGCAGACCGTTGAGGCATGCAGGGCGACGCCGCGACGAGGTCACGGTTGCGCGACATGGTGGCCGACAGGCATGCTTTTGAAAGTCCGCCGTGGTTGTTCTAACCGCGTTTCTCAGAGAGATTAGTCTTACCTGAGCTTTATCAAAGTTTCGAGTAACACTAATGAGTATATGGAACTTATCCGACTAGATGGCCAGCCTGGTATGGGAGCATAATAAGCTTTCGGGCTCTTAGTAGCCATAATCCTTTCCATCACCTTTTTTACTCTTCTGCGAGCCCTCTACGAATACTACGAAGATGGCCAACAAGGCAAAACTTGAGGCACTCCTGACTCTAATCAACACATCCGCACGAGATGCCATCGCGTTGTATGAGCAGTACGGTGGTGTACCCGCCATCGACCAGATAGATCCCCACCCGTTGGACAATGCAGCCGACCAGGTAGCTTTGAAGAGTGCTATTCGTACTCTTAAAGGTGCTTGTGCTCAGATATGCGCGACACTTGCACCACCTGCCCATACTGCAGTTAACGTGAATACTTGAATGATATAACGCACTTTACTTTTGCTCATCAGATTGTACACAGCTTGTCCAAGTGTATGATCATGCTTGCATGCGAGTAGTTGCTCGCGAGCATGTTTCTGATATTTTGTTGAAGTACCCCAAGGGTCTTCACGTCAACGAGCTCTCCAAACAAATCAACATCGAGCCAAAGAAACTGGCCAGGATAATGCGCCTCCTGGCCACGAGAGGTTGCTACAATGAAGGTAAGGAGCTATTTGTTGCCTGCTTTGATTTCTTCTCAGACTGCGCCAGTTGACATGAACGTTTTTGCCAACAACCGCCTGTCTCTGATCCTACTCGACGAGAATCCTGTCAAATACATGATCTTGTTTCACGTGGACATAGTTGCCAAGGGAGCACCGGTTTTCTACGAGACGCTCAAAGATCCAAAGATTGCCTACTCGTATGAACCAACGGTGGCCCCTGTGATGTACGCCATCAACAAAAATGGAACCGAAGGAACGCTTTTCGACCGGATGGCGCGGCATGTATGTTTTTAAAATATCGCTCGCGTCAGGGAGCTTTGCTCATATAATTTACTCGTAGGACGGCCAATGCCAGGTAGGGATTTTGGTCTCTCCGTACGATCATTCTGACGTCTCTAGTAGTCCTATCACACGTCGATGAGAGGTCTGAATGACATTATGGGCTCCCTCGCCGTCCTGACTCGTAAGTATCTGAGTACACAAAGACAGGATAATTTTATGCTAACCTGATAATAGATTTCCCATTCGAAAAGCTCTCAACAGTCGTTGACGTTGGAGGAGGCATCGGAGCATTTTCTCTGCCTTTGGCTAAAACGCATAAAAACGTCAAAATTATAATCCACGATCTTCCGCAAGCATTAGTCCAGGCGAGAGATGTAAGTCGGTAGGACAACGTACTTGTCACCAAATTGATGGAATCTAGATCTGGGCGAGAGAATGCCCTGAAGCCCTGACAGAAAACAGGGTCGAGTTCGAGAATTTGGACTTCTTCAAACAAGTGCCTGCGAAGGGTAAGGACATCTACTATGTAAGTGCTAGACTCTGTAGGTGACAGCCTGCAAAGCTGACGATGACCACAGCTCAGAAATATCATCCACGACTGGCCTGACCGTGAAACTGCACTCATTCTTTCAAACCTTCGCAAGGCGCTCGGTCCAAACAGCCGCGTCCTCATCCGTATGTCAAATATAGCGTGATCATCGTCCCGCAGTCTGACAATCTTAGATGACTATGTGCTCCGCCAGCTCAGCCGCAAACAAGCAGTAATGGAAGCTTCAGAGCTCGGAGTTATTTCGGTATGTCATGTCCGCTGACCTACATCCGTCTTTGTTCATCTCCGCACCTAGGCTCCTGAACCTCTTCTTGCAAACTTTGGTGTTGGAAATATGCGTTTATACCAGCAAGACATGACTATGTTGTTTGTACACAACGCGATGGAGCGAACACTGCAAGATTCCCTCACACTCGCGTGAGTGATGTTCGATTACTGCCTTGGCTTCACCTGATTGGTTTGAAATAGCACTGCCGCCGGTCTGAAACTAGAGAAAGTGTGGGATCTTGTTGAAACATGCGTCTTGGAGTATTCTGCCGCATAATGTTCGAGCTAACCAATCGTTCATCCACATATATCTTCACATGCGAAGATATACTGCACGCCACATACTTCCCGAATTTCTGATAGTTTGTTTAATTAGCTTAATTACTGGTAATCCTTGCAAAATATCTTAAGATCGAAAGCCCGCGATCAAATTTCAGCGAGAACTGTTATACCGATATAAACACTCGTCGAGGCTATCGAGTATTCTCTCGACCTGCGTCACGATAAGATTTGCATAGATGCAGGAGCCTCTGCTTCTTCATATCATTACGCTGTATGAGTTTGCAATGCCATGACACCGGGCCTGCCATACGGCTTAATCATAGAATTATATGTTCTCGCGAACAATTGGCCCGTATATCGAAGCTGGGGAGTTTATCGAAGAACGCACGTTTCAGTTGTAGGACAAGTACCTCGTACAACAGCCTCGCTAAGTTCAGCTGTGATCCTTGACTCCTGGTTCTCCCGCACCAGTATGAGAACCTCGTTGTTATCTACGATGGAGATGTCCATCTTTGCCGACGACCACACCCACGGACAGTAAGTGGAAATCTATGATAGATCAAGATGATCCTATGGTGATCATAATATCCAAGCGTGGGTAGGTGGGGGAAGGTAAGGCACACCAAAGAATTTATGTTTGGGTAGGCTTGGAGGTCACTGCCAGTGTTCACGATTCATTTCAAGCCCGTCATCAGCTATGGGACAATGGCAACGCATATTATAGTAGACAGCGATGATGGGATTCAGGAATTTGGATATATGAGCTGACTGGCCGGGCCAGGTGAACTTGATGCAACACTGTCACGAATCCTACGGGAGTACAGATCATGTTCAAACACCTCGTGGAGTATTGAAATAGATGATATCTGCATATACATTTGCATTCACTGTCATGCAAACACCAGACAACATGAGTACACGTAGGGACAGCACAACCCACCTCCACCAGCGAATCATCTCCTGCCACCATGGTCTCTCTCCCTTTCATTAGACATCCTCCTGCGCCTATCACCTCCAGGAGAACGTTCATTCCGCTCTCTCTCAGGATAGTCATCCTTGCGCCGCCGTTCATATCCACCATCCCGCCTACCTCGATCCCGTCCATCCATATCCCGCTTGCGAGGCGGAGGGGACCGGTCATCTCTCCTGTGGCGAGGAGAGTCGCGACGGGTATATCCTCGTCCATCCCTTTGTCGCGGGGGAGGCGACGGGGACGGCGTACGAGAGGAATAGCGCCCGCCTCGGCGTGGAGGAGGCGAGCGAGAGTCATCTCGAGCACCACGACGTGGGTGCGGGGGCGGAGTGCGTGAGTCATCTCGGGCGACACGGCGTGGGGGTGGGGTTGGGCTACGCGAATCGTCCCGCCCATCACGGCGTGCAGGGGGACGACGAGAGTCGTCTCGCACACTACGGCGTGGTAGAGAACGCGAGTCATCCCGCCCTCTGCGAGGAGGAGTTCGTTGACGTCGCCTGGAGTCCACAGAAGATTCTGATTCTGATGGGGAAGTGTCCGAGCCAGATTCGGACTCAGAATCAGAGTCAGAATCAGATGAATCGGAGTCACTACTGGATGAACTCGATTCCTGTTCCAGCATGGCACGTCGTTGTTCCATAATAAGGCGTGGGGCGTTCTACCAGAAAAAAGTAAGTCACTTCAATGCTTTGAGCATGTAGACTCGACATACCTTGAGGTACTCTCTCATTTGTTCGGTGAGAACACCAAGTCCAATGCTCGTGAAGTAGTTGATGGAGAACCGTGTGTTTTTCGGGTTGTCCATTGGGAACATGTCCTTCGTCGCGTGTTTAACCTGCTCATCCTTGAACCTCTCCGCGAGCGTTTTCAATCCCATACTCTCCATCATCTCTTGCATCATAATCTTGATAAAAATACGGCTTGAGCTTGTCGTGTTCTCCTCGTTGATCTTGACACACTCGAGCACAATCCAGGAGACGGCATCGGTCGCGAGCATGTGCCCGAAGAAACGAGAAATGTTGCGCAGGCGATTGGTCTCATACCGATGGATTGTTGTGTAGTAATTGACGAAGGCCTGCTCGAGAGCATCTGTCCAGACACGGTTGAGTTTGCTGAAGCGCTCGCCAACAAGACCATAGAAGCTAGAGTAAGAACGTTCTTGCGAGCAACATTCGATCACCATGTTGATGAGCTCAATCTAAAAAGACGGTCAAGCATTTGCAAAACGTTGACTATACGATCACGTACCTCATCGCCTTCTTTTATCTGTACTTTGAGGAGCTTATGAACGGCTTCCTCGTAATTGAGGGCATTCATGATCGTCAAGTAGATCGTTCTACGTAGGTTCACGAGATTGGTCTCCGTACGGTCTTCGATGCCTTCTTTGTCTGCCACAACTGCATGATATGAGCTCGCAACTCAAGATATGACGCAGAACGAAACAAACCTTCGTCTTCATCCTCGCTAGACGACTCTTCAGAGCCAGATTCTTCGTCCTCTGAGCCTTCACCTAGAATCTCAGCCCTGATAGACTTGTACTTTTCCTCGTTCTCCAGGTAATTAGGATCAAACTTGAAAATATCTATATGCAAAATTTAGGCAAAACTTCTTTTGTCAGAACACGAGTACGCACTTAGTCCTTCCTGAACCTGGAGCTCTTCCTCGAGCTGGATTTGGTGTGTAATCTGCTCTTCTTCTTCAACCAAGTCAAGACCTTCAGGAAGGATTGGGTTATCCTTGTACTTATCCTTCCGAGTTTGCATTAGGACTTCAATCATATATTGAACCCTGTGACTGATCGACCCTTCGTTCAAGACAGCACGGAATCGCTCAAAGACAGTCGCATTGGCTTTTGGTGAGTTTTCAGCGAGGAAGGCGCCTACTTCGCGCATGAAGCCGACAGCGATTTCAATCGAATCATCGGTGGGCCGCTCGAGAAGAAGAACCAGGATTTGGAGAGCTATGATTTCATGAGCGACGGCTTGATTAACGAGGTGAGCGATAAAAGTCGTCGTTGAGTGGCATACAATCTTGGAAGGTAAAGTGAGCAAACTCAAAATTCGACTATAGCTTTCGACTTCGCTTACTTTGTCATTTCGCTTGAACGATCGTCTGAATTGACTAATCAAACGAGTGAGAACAAGTTCTCCCACTTGAGGGAGTTTTGTGTTGATAACGGCCACCACAGCAGCAAATACGGGCGTAAATGGCAAACTTGATGACTGCGCCTTCATGATGCTCCGAGAAAAAAGGCCTCGGCCGCGGATGAGATTTTCGGAGAAGAGTTCAGGGACAATTTGCTTTATATTCGCAATGTTGACTCGGTTGACAATACCAGTGAGGGATTTGCGCAGGGCATCCCAAGATAATCGCTGGTATTCTGGACTGGTTTTGTCGCTGGCAGCAGCGGCTTGCAAGGCGCGTAAACGTGCAGGGGGCATGTATACACCACCCGAGCGTGAGCCTATGAGCTTGGCAAATTCAGCTTTCCTTTCTGCTTCATCCTGTGCACTGTCTTGCACTTTGGGATTTGTCGCTTTTTCGAGGTTCATAGCTGCTATATTTGCAGCAAGCTGCCTCTCTCTTTCGGCCCGTCGAATGGGGTCCACATCGTTTACACGAGGAAGGTCGATATGAACACGAGACGGTGACTGCGAACGACGGCGAGTTGCCGGTGGAATGCCATCTGGTTCACCAGGTGAGCGAGAACGAGACCTGAAAACATTATAAGCGATCGAATGTTTCAAAAGACGATCTCCAAGTACCTCTTTCTACGCCCAGAAGGACCATCTGAAGCAGTTTGAGGGGGGAGCACTGTTGTTGCCATCGTCGTCCGTGACGAACTGAACCCGTGGGAGTTCCTTTGCTTGCTATGTCAATACACTTAGTCAGCAATATACTGTTTACGCATAAATGCTTTAATCCATACGGTCGTCCTTAGGAGTCGGAGACCCGGTGTGCGAAAGTGCCTGCAAAGTTTGTTATCCTTGTGAGTTAGCCCGTGAACAGCTATCATGGAGACACTCGAAGTCCTGGCATCCATTACTAGGGTAGGTTCAATGTATGCTCCGTGACTATGTTCTGATCTGTGAATGCGTGGATAGCTCAGTGATCGCGTAGTGAGAGTGTTGGGCCAGGTAAATGTCACATCGTGCAAGCGCGCACTCCCAATGTAACTCTCTTCCACAGAACCCAGGAAAATTCACACTTCAAGGTAACTACTAACCGCTTTTTTCCAAAAACTCAAACCAAACGGCTCTACAGGGACAAATACTTATCTTATCGGCGAGCGCAACCCCTACACGCTCATCGACACTGGTGAAGGCAATGATGCATACATCCCTCAGCTCGAGTCCGCCCTCTCCAACACTTGCAAGCTCACGAACACAAATGAACCCCACATATCCGACATCGTCATCTCTCACTGGCACCATGACCACACACGCGGGATCAACTCCGTCCTTTCGCTCTTACGGAGAATGTGGGACGGGCGGAACAAACCGGCTCAGTTCAAGCCTCCACGTATCATAAATTCCCCCTTCTGAATGCGCCGTCCGACTCTAACACAACTATCCCGCTACCACCCCCGGGTACATACACCCCCACCGTCAACGGTGCCTTCCTCCATGACCTCGTGCACAATCAACTTTTCCCAATAACCTGGCTCACCCTCACCCATGCGAGTCATACACACCCCAGGACATACCCCCGATTCCATCTGCCTCCACAGTCCCCGACGACCGCGCCCTCTATACAGCTGACACCGTCCTAGGCCAGGGAACAGCAGTATTTGAGGACCTGGGCACATATATTTCCTCCCTGCACAGGCTCCTCGCATTTCAATCTGATTATACTGTGTTGTACCCCGGGCATGGCCCTATTGTCGCTGAGGGCCCTAAGCTTATCGGTACATACGTCGCACATCGTATGGAGAGAGAGGCGCAGATCGTTAGCGTCATTGAGAAACCTAGATCTGACGGACAGCCTTGGTCTACGTGGGGAATTGTATCCACGATATATTCTGCGTACCCGCAGGATCTATGGGAGGGCGCGGCACAAAGCGTGAATCAGCATCTTGCGAAGCTTCAAGCCGAGGGCAAGGCGAAGAAGGTTGGGGGCGAGGGCAAGGACGTCAAGTGGGAGCTGCTAGCGAAGCTATGAAGGACGTGAAGGGCTTTCCCAAAGAAGAATATAGCATGAACTAGATGTGCATTCAATGTAATATACAAGTAACATATACCGTGAAAATCTCGCGAGCACGTGTACATCTGCCACCGTTACAATGCATCAAAATTGATATGATGCGATGCCCTCCTCCGCTCCAGCTCATCCTCCCTCTTCTCATTCAGGTGCAGTACGAAGGACAACTGCCTGCCAAAATGAAGGTTGCAGCTACGACTGTAAGCGTTACCCATGGGACCCAAGCCCCTGGCCGGAGGAACAGCTCCCTTCGCCATGCCCCATCACCAAGGACAGGGTGGATGACGACGCGCGAGTTTGGAATGACGCCTTCCATATTGATGAAGTGTTCCTGTGTGTGCTTGGTTGAGCCGACAAACAGGTTCTCGATGTAATTGTTGGTGCGCCCGAGCCCGAAGAATGAATATGGCGTCAGAAGGGAATGGTAAGAAGTTTGAGGAAGTTGCCCGACTTGAGCAGCGGTACGACGGCCAGAAGTGTCAAGAACCGTGTATTTATACGATGCACCAGAGTAGCTCACGCCGAAGGGCTACATCAACTACATCAGCGCAGTTCCCCACGAGATTAGGGAAACACTTACGGAGTACGTCGAGCCGTTTGAATCCGTACACCATCCATTATTACATGCACCATTTAGCACTGAGCGAGGTATGAGCATGGCAGTCATGAAGATGTTTCCCCTCACCTATAGCATTCAAAAAGAACGCATCATAATAAAAATTGTTCTGGACAAATAATACACTGCCTTGCTTTTGCTCCCCATTTCGCTGCACGATCATATCCAGCGTACCCTTGCATATAGGTCAAGTCAACCCCATATGTAGAATCCAGAAAATAGATACTCACATCCTCATCCATATCCAAAAATGAGACTCCGCGCGCGTCCTTCACAGCTTCCAAAGACTCAGCACCCTTCGTGACAAGTTTGAAACCCCTCCTGCCATTTCCCTTTTCGTCGCATCCTCCCAGGCCCTTAGCACAAGGCTCGGAAAATAATAGTTTGGGTGTACGTGATTGATCAGAGGGATTCGAGACAATGAGGAGGAGATCCGGAAAACCATCAAGGTTAGCGTCTCCGAGCTTGACAGGCAGAGGAATAGACGGAGAATATGTGGTATCGAGGACTAGAAGAGAGCTCGTGGGAGAGGAGGGAAGAAGGTTTGAGAGTGGTATCTGTACGTATGCCTGGAGTAAACTAAGTAAGGCTATGGAGGGCAGAGAGTGGGCAGCGACGAACGTCGTTTTCGCTTCCTGTACTCAAATCGAACTTGAAGTTTGGGTCAGCAGTGCACAGCTCCTCTGGTCGCCGACAGGTTCGCCTTCCTTGTTTGCCTATGGCAGGGGATGTTGGGGAAGTACACAACGGTAATTGTTTGTTGTACACTATGTTGATAAAACAGCCAGAGCCCACGCCAGCTGAGGAAACGGATGAGCATGAGGGAAATACCATATCGATAGTGCCATCCCTGTCTGTCTATTGGTTGGTATAGGTTCGGAGGGGTGAGGAATAAGGGGGACAAACCGACGTCAGCAAAAGATATCCCCTGCGTCCCAGAAGGCAGGTCACCACTCTGGTCTAACGAGAATCCAGAGTCCTTGTTGTTAACCCAGATCTGGTATGACTTCTTCCCCGAACTATCCTGGCATACCAGAAAGATATCTCCAAACACGATTATTAAGTTGACAAATGGTATAAAATCGTCCTACATACCTGCTAAACAATCACCATTGAGATCAATCACAGCATTGCTGTGAGGATTGGCGAGCGTGCACTGGTTTCCAGTAAAAGGAGGGTCAATACTATCTCATAGTCAGCTGAAAGATGCCGCGCGCAACCTGAGACGCTTACAGCTCGAACAGCGTTGGTGGACTCTGCGACGCATTCCAGATATTCCGCCAGACTGTGAATGGGGCGGTATAAGTTCCTTGCAAATATGCAGTGCCCAACAGGTCAATTTTCATGTCTCCATCGATATCAACTGGTATGGGTTCTGAGAGCGTCGAAGATGCGACTGAAATAGAGTCTGACGCTACAAGTTACGATTATGGTAGAACGTTTGGCATGAGAGAGATACCACTCACCAAATGTACCGTCGTGATTACCTGTGTAGAGAGTCATATCTAGTCTATCTGAAAAAGCGCGATTTGAGCTCATGACAAGCACATCAAGCTTGCCGTCGTGCGTGAAATCGCCTGGGATGACATTATGAATAGGCCACGGGTGTCGCACAGATGAGACCTTCTTGAATGAAAACACATCTACCCGGAGTGGAGTGATCAGAAGGAATATTCATGAGGTGTACTATTATCTAACCGTGTTGCCAGAGGTACATAGACAAAGTCTGCTGGTCCGAGTCTACTGACAGGACGTCCAAGCTATTGAGGCGAAAGATTGAATATACCATCCACAGATAGACACATATGTAACCCACAACTGGTCCCCATTAAAGTCTCCAAATGCGACTATCCGATCCCCATCATTAATGCCCACTAAGCCCGCATCCAGGAGAGAATTCTTCGTGAACTGTTTTGGCGAGAACGGCCATATTGATGCGACGGGTGACGAGAGCAGCAATAGGGTCAATGTCAGGTATGCTGGAAGTGGATAATAATGGCTGGTGTCTTTGTGCGCTCCAAGACTTGAAGAATGAGCTGCCCATGGTGAATCCGGAGTTACGCTAACTAGCTTCTGTGTGTAGCAAAATTATTCTGTTACTTCTGGGGTGAGGGTGTTGCAGCCACGGATACCCTGAAAATCTTGACACGCGCTCTTCCGGTGGGGGTAATTGAGAGTACTACACAGGTTTGGTGACGGTGTCAAACGATGAGGCAAACACCATGTTCTTCTCACGTGATCTTTACTTGAATTTTCCGCGCATATCCGTGTCGGGACTTGCTTGAAAGCTATGGTTTCTCTACATTTTGCACTCGCCAGTTCTCGGCTTGTTGATCTTGTCCAGCGCTTACTCAGTCTGGTAGCAATTGCCGATAATGAACGTTGATAACTATCACACAAGGCTAAAATATAGCTGCTGGGTTTTCACGTTCGTTTTCGCTCGTTCCCCAGGTCTAGCATTGTGAGTCTATCATACGAGTTCATGGTACCCTGTTATCATTCTTCGGTTCCTTCGAACAACTCCAAACCCTGAGCATACAAATTCCGGACACCCCTCATGGTATTCACAATTGAAAAGACCCCCAGACCCGATCTCACGATAAAGGCGCAGTTGAGTGCGGTCGAGTACTAAAGTCAAACTAGTAGTGTGCCGCTAATTTTTGGTCTTGTAGTGCTAGTGCAATTCGATGGAATGCATCATGACGGTAGTACTTCGTGCGTCACACGCCACAGGGCATGAACCTATTTGGAACGCGCAGATCCAGGGTGACTTATATAGTCGAGGTCGTGGACAACGTAAGTATTAGTTCGACAGTATCGACACATCAAGATCGATCCTCACCACATAACGTGAGAGAGGGGATACCGCGTACCCGACTTGGCAGGTTGTTTGTATAGTTGTTTGTCTATGTCCGTGTTCAATGACACTCCTCAACGCGCTACTCCGAGTTCATCGACGGTAGACCAGACTAGAACATATGCATCAGGCTCTACTCATTCCCGACGTCTTCCTTGAGATATTCGCGCATGTGAATCAAGTCTTGAACCCATCGTCTACCGGGGAGAAAGCACTGGCTCGGAAATCTATCGCAGCCCTCGCAACGACATGCAAAACGTTTCACGAGCCCGCAATGGATTTGCTGTGGTGCAAAGTAGATCAGTTGGAACCATTGCTAGGTTGCGTAACGAGGCTACATCCGCTGATATATCATGGCGGTTCAAGGGTCAGTATTTAGTATTCAGTAGTCGTGCTCTATTTTTTTCATCGGCTAACGGAGCATCCAAAAAGTGGGACAGTACTTGGTCAAAGGGTGTCGAACCATTATCTGCCCATGAAGTCCGTCAATTTCTGCGTCACTCCGCACGCGTTCAGTCATTGAATGTACAATCCGATCACTTTTTTCACCTTCTCTCAGTCGTCCCCATCGAAAAGTGCATCTTTTTGAGGTTGCGGTCGTTAACTTGGAGGCTTTCCACTGCCAAATATTTGGACCTATTCCTGTCCTGCACGCTGCGCCGTTGTTCCCTGTTCACCATCAATCAAAATCTGAAGAATATTGTGACGCGTTGTGCTGCTTTGGAGGACCTATCCATCAAAAAATTAAATTTTGACGCGAGCACAGCAGATGAGCTGTCCTTGCTGTCTGACAGTGTCCGTCTGTGCAAGCAGCTCGTGATTTTGTCTTGTCCCCCGCTCGACTGGGCAGCGTGGGAGCACCTCTCCAACCTTCCTAACCTAGTCAGGATAGGAGTCCGTGACGTGCAGATCTGCAGTGCCCCTGCTTGGTCGTTAGAACGCAATGTCGCCAACCCTACGCAATTCCTCAACACCACGGCTCTCTCTTTGCAGGTTAACAATGCTGGATACATTATCACAGTCTTGCAACACTCACAATTCCCTTCGCTGACGGAGCTCAAGATAGAAACCGACCTTCTGTCTTCGGAAGAGGCAGAGCGACTCTTTTGCGCGCTGTCCAACTGCAAAGCATGCCAGACCTTGCAACAACTTGAAATCACCGTGATTAGCGGATCTCGACATCAGGGCAGCTCTTTGACAGCCATTCCACATATCCTTTGCTTCGCACAGCTCCAAACCCTGCGGCTTGTTTGCTGTTTTTCCTACATCTACCTCGACAACGACCTTCTCTTGGAAGCTATGTCAAACTGGCCGCACCTCCGCACTCTCGAAATAGAAGGCTCATGTCTTCATCCTTCTACTGTTACATTCTGCGGATTATTCACGGCGCTCAATCTGTGTCCACACCTCCACACTCTGCGGGTGTTGATTGATCCCGTGAACATCGAAATTGGTCCTAACAAAATACAACATACCTCCCTAAAAACAGTGGACTTTGACACCTTATCTCCCATAGCGAATACTGCAGATGTAGCTCGCATCATTTTCAATGTGCTCCCTTGTGTTGACCAAGTTAATCAGTTTACAATGCACACAGAGGGGTGGGATGAAGTCAACAGGCATCTCAAATCTTTGAAAGCTGCTGTGCTGCATTAGGCACACTGTACTATGGAGACAGATAGTAATGAAAGACGAGACAATGTCATCATTGTACAAAACTTCGTTGAGTCAAATTCAGACCAGGACCGATCACTGGGAGTCATGTTGGAAGAATAGTACTAGTACTAGTATAACTCGGCCGTGACGTGAGCGGCAACATGAAGATAAATGGAGTCACCCCCGCCAAATTTCCTGGTCGTCGATCTCCTTCAGTTCTTTGGCAAGATCTTGGCGGTACGTCGAGCGGCCGTTAAAATCGAGAGCCTTGCGGGTCTCCGTACCATTCCGCACACTCTCGTACAACTGCTCAACGATAGGCGTGTTGGTCTTTTCAAAGATGGGTGCCCAATCAAGCGCACCGCAGCGAGCGGTTGCGGAGCAGGTGTTGTACATGTAATACATGCTACAAACCATGAGGGAAAGAATAGGCGACAATAAAACACACACTCACCCCTTCTGTCCAATCAAATGGTACAGGGATTGAGTAGTCTCCTCGACGTTTTCATTGAAGGCTTCCAAAGGTGAGTGGTCATTGGCACGGAGTACCTTGTACTGCGCGTAGAACAGACCCTCTGATAAATAATCAGCTGACAATAACTCGCGGTGTAAGAACACTTACGGATGGCACCCAAGAGCACACCACGTTCTCCATAGAGATCGGAGTAAACCTCCTTCTCGAAGGTGGTTTCGTACATGTATCTTGATCCGATAGCGACACCAATGGCAAAGCCTTCTCCACGGGTTTACCAGTGACGTCCTGGAAGACAGCTGCACTGGAGTTGATCTCACAACTCTCCTTGAAGAGGGTGCGTACGGTACGGCCGGATCCTTTGGGTCCGACTAGGATAACATCAAGTCCTTGGGGGGTATGACTTTTATGTCTTCCATGTATACAACATAAAAACTGTGCGAGAAGTAGAGGGTCTTGCCCTTGATGATCAGAGGTGGGTAGGCCACGTTTGTGATTGTGCAGCATCAGAGAGAAGGTTCATGATGATCGTGCCGCAGTTGATGGCTTCTTCGATGGGGAAAAGTTTTTCGCCGGGAATCTAATGATATATCAATGTTACATGAGTTGCCTGCAAGCCTGAAAAGTCGACATGAACATACCCAGCCATCCTCCATAGCCTGCTGCCAATTCCAAATTTTAATATCAAAATCTGCCCATTTAATCTGGGCCATCAGATGCGAAAGAGCAATAGGAAATAAAACCATCTCCAACAAAACAATTGAAACGAGGATGGCGTACCATTCAAAATTTCACCAAACTTAGCTGGTGAACCTGTCACTCTAACGAATTCAGTACGTTTTCAGTGTTCACAAAACTGTTGTCAACTAAGGTGAGCTCTAGGCTAGAACTTCTTCAGTGGCGACAACAAACAGACAAACCAATTCTGATTTACTTTCTCGTAGAAATACACCATGTATGTTACACTTATAACAGTACATATTCCCTTTTCCAACGAAGTTAAAGTTTCAAGCGCTTCATAGTAACTGGTCAATCAAGCTCATCGTAAAGTCCTCCACCACTTCGAACCTCGCGACCCCACATGCTTCGCTTTCAATGTGCTGCATCAGGCCTGAAACAAACTTGTACTTCCTCTCGCACTTTGGGCACTTGAACTCATCCGCATCATGCGCCGGAGAGTTGATGTGGGAGTTCAGAGCTCCCAAGGTACGAAAGTAAGGTGGCAAAGATAACACTCGTAAGCAGTGCCGTTGAATGCGCGCTCTGTCACATAGTAAGACGCAACACGGGTCGATCCGCCTTCTATGTGGCGAGAGACCGAAATCGAAGGCACTATGTTGAGTGCATGGACTGCCGCTGTTACTTGGGCTCGTGAGATATTGTGACAAGCCCCCGACTGAATGTGAAGGGCGATCAAGGAAGGAATCTTAAATATCTTTGAGCACAGAGGACACTCGAAATCCAGGCCATTGTGCACAGGGGATGAGTGCTGTGTGGTGGGGTTTTTATCGACACAAGAAGGGTAAAAGAGAGAGAGCCGGACTTACTTGATCCAATGAAGTTGGGGTGGCAAAATCGCGCGAGCACAAAAAGCACCAGTTGTGCTTTAAGCTGGTAGCAAGGTGCTGATAAAGATTTGCCAAGTCAACAAACCACCTGTTGCATCCCACGCAGAACGGCGGTTCTTCGCCATCAACATCATCTTCGTCATCGTCGCTCCCGAACGCATACTCGTCTACTTCATTCCAGTGCTGACATAAAAGGAGCGTGAGTTGGGCGAAAATAGCGACAAGCGCCTCCCCGCACCTGATACAGTCCAGCAAAATTATAGAATAACGTCTGGCAATCCTCGCAGAAGGGGTGGTCAGCTTTGTCGCGACAGTGGGTAAACAATGCACGAGTGGAACGAAATGGACGGTTGCATAGATTACACTGCCACCGTTTTCGCATGATAGTGGAAGTCAAGACGAAGGTCGCCACAAGGTTCATCAGGGAAATCCTCAATTTCAAATCGGATGATCCAATTTGCGTCAATCTGCGAGCATTCGATAAGCTTGAAAGGGGCACGGACTCGGATGTTTCCCGATTGTTCAAGCTTGGCGGCCCTGATTCTGTCATAAGCATTAATGCTATACGACGATCCTCGTGCCAGATACGTATGACCCTAGATGATTCTGTTGTCATGAGACATCTGATAATGGGACACACGTATCACGCAAGGTCGTGACATGCTAGACAATTTTCGGCTCAGCAGCCTCAGCCAGCCAGCCATCTAGTTGCTACTGGCTTCCAGGCGGCCGTATGGAACAGAGTGCTGCGCAGATATCATCATGATAAGAAAATGAGTAAGAAGAAGACCAGCTTTCAAGAACAATGTTTACCTAAAACCACGGTGCTTCAAAGTTACAATCCATATAATCACTGATCAGGCGAGTCGCAAAACGGAAGTCTTTTCTCTTCTCTCTCACCAATTATTTGTCGTTAGGCCGCGACCAGGATCCGATTCAGCGTCCTCCTGTTACTTCCCACCGTGCATCCATGACCTCCAAGTTTCCAGATTACGATTGGCATGTCCAAGCAAGCAATTCTTGCTGTCCCGCTTGTTATGCCGCTGTTGATGTTCCAGTGGAACATATGTCCGTCTAGAGTGGTCCGCCTAGCATGCGGGCAATCCATACTTCTGTTGCAGTTGTGCACTCCCAATTCAAAAGGTTCCGCGCATAATGTGAATCCGCGTTTGGCGTATTTCACCAGCGCTTCGGCAGTGCGTGGTTTGTCTTGTCTTCCATGTAGAGTCGTGGATTAATGAATCCCTTTCTGCTGCACGGCGTCCATTTGGGATACTGCACGATACAAGCGAGACGATGCTGCAAACGGCTCAGGGAAGATAGGATTAGAGTGGATACTTTAGAAGCTCAAACGCGACTGCATTAGATATACAGACCGAATCACACACATGCACGCGAAGCAAATCATGAACATGATCTTTACGATCTGATGACGACACATAAATAGAATGAGCGCGTGCAACCTCAGCGTATTGCTCTCTAGTAAGTGTCGCGAAGTTCTCGACAATCACTTGCAGATTCGACGACATCACAGACGTGCCATCGTCTACGAGCGAGACGGGAGGACAAGACACAGCTTGATCAATCACGGAGGATGAACCAGAAGCGATGGATAGAGACGAAGAGGCAACAGACAGAAACAGGAGAACAACGAAGGGACGATCGACTCTTCATGCTGACAAAGCAATATGATCCCCAAAAAAGAGACGAACGGTGTGGAGCCGTGAAGATCGAGTCACACATGACGACACCACAGAGGTCTACAAGTTCGCGAGCGGAGAGCATGAGCGAGACTGGAGGACAAGAGAGAGTTGGATCAATGACTGAGGAGAAACCAGAATCCATGGATGGACTCAGGAGGACAACGAACAACGAAGGAACGATCGACTGACGAAGCCATATGATGCTTAAAAAAGACACGGCCGTAGGGAAAGTCAAGAATAACATTAAAATCGAGCCACTATTTGATGGAAACTAAGAACAATCAGCGACGTCAACGCTAGTGAGCTTCCGTCCCTTACTGGCTGCGAAGGTAGCGTGTCACGATTTTGTCACGAATTATCAGGCCAATCTCTACTTGCTGTGAAAGGTTGGAGTCTTTGTCCTGTGGAAAGTTTTGGATAATCTCTTAATACGAGACATAAATGCTTGAAAGTGAGAATACTCAATAACACGGACGTCATTACGCTTACGTCCATTGCTATCTGCGAAGGCAGCTTGTTATGACTTTGTCGCGGACTCCTCCAGCAAGTCTATTTTGGTGATCATCCATGGCTAAGTACGAATTTTTTGTGGCATACATAGTCATATTCGGTGACAGCAGAATTACATCACCCTACAATTGCAACGGCTACAATTCCAAGGACTCGTGCGTTCACTGATGCACGGCGAAACCAGGTGGTGGCGGAGGCGGGAACGCTCCAGGAGGAAACATGTTGGGCGGTGGCGGCGGTATTCCCATCCCTACAGGTGGCATTCCTCCCATCACGGGGATTCCTTGTGGAACAACAGTCTGCGGCGGGTTGAAACCAGGTGGAGGTGGCGGCTGAGCAAGCACACCCGCGAACTGCCCTTGATAAGGACCCTGGAACCCCGGCATAGGAGGACGAGCACCAAAAGCCATCTGTGCAGGAGGAGGACGGGAGGTGATGGGAAGTGCATTGTTCTTCCGTGCTTGTGCGGCGAGTAGACGTTCTGCTGAGGTACCATGGCGCTCGCCTTTTCCATCTTTCTTGAACGCATACTGCACAGTGATGGCTTTGTTCATGAGGAACTGGCCGTTCATGGATTCTGTTGCAGCGTCGGAGGACTCGAAGTCCGTGTATGAGACGAAGCCATAACCCTTTGAAACCCCCGTACCAGGGTCTCGTGCAATCTATCAAATTCTGTTAGTGAAGACGGCCAGTTGCTTGCGTACTGGGTACATACCTTTGCAGTTGTGGCCATCATACCAAACGCGCTGAAAGTATCGTATAGCAGTCGCTCGTCCACGTTCTCGTCCAGGTTGCCGATGAAGAGGTTTGCTCCTACATCGAGTTGTTTTTTGTCGGATGATGCCTATGTGAGAGATGTAGTTAGTATAACCCTCCAGAACAGCATTCAAAACAACTTACTTTGTTCACCCTGATGGGCTTACCCCATAATTTGATCTGGTTCATGATTTTGCATGCGTACTCTGCATCCTCCTCTGTCAGGAACTCACAGAAACCGTACCCCTGGTGAGCCATTGAGATGCGATCCTTTGGAAGGTGCACGTTTACTATATGATGTCAGTTCGAATAGGCGGTGGATTGGATGACTTGCAACTTACCAACAGGTCCTGCTTGTAGCATTAACTCCCAAATGAGTGCGTCCGTGCACCGTTCATCGAGATTACCCTATTATTGATCAGTGTGAGCATGGAAGTTCGTGGGATGAAGCTGAAAGCAGCACATACCAGATATACAGTAGCCTCCTGGTTTCTATCGTCTTGAGGTCTTCCGGACATTGTTACTGTGAAGATGAGGTCAGCAAAAACGTCCAAATCTACGGTAGTCACCCACGCTCTCCAGCGGTCATTGATCATTACCGATGTTTCTCTATAACCAACACCATCCATTTCAATTACAATGACAGAATCCTCCATACAATCCGTCAACGAGACCATTCTCCCTCGAAGATATCAAAAAGAGATTTTTCAACGCGCTCAAGAATGTAATGTCATTGCAGCACTCGACACCGGCAAGTGGAAAGACTTTCATCAGTATTTTGCTCATCGAATGAATCGTGCTACAAGAGAGTGTTTGCGGCAAAGTCATCGTATTTCTGGTACCCAAGGTAGCTCTGGTCGAACAACAGGCCAACTTTATCGCCGCGCACACTCCTTTGCGAGTCGAAAAGTTCCATGGATCTCCGTCGTAATGGGGGTCGGCAAGGACCGGAGTACAAATAATGTGGGATTATAATCATTCTAATGATTGCTACACAGCGGCCTTGGTACATACATGCAGGAAAATACATAAGAAGTTGTTTCTAAAACCCACTCAAAATATGTATAATACAACGATCAATTATGGACGCCCACCCTGGAGGGAAACTCAACATTTCCGCACAGGCTGGGAGCACTCTTTTTGACCGTTCGCGCTTCCATAAGTGATAACAAAACTTGTTCGACACGCCTTGCTAATCATTCCTCCACATCCATATCCACTACGTCGTCGTCATACTCATCGTGGTCGTGAGTAGGTTCAGCCTCCCCGTCGAGCAGTTTCTGCTTGGCGAGGGCAGCAAAGCCCTCTTCAGTCTCATCAGTTAGCTTCAAGGGAGCCGTGGCATCATCGACGACGATAGCCTCTGCCACTTCTGGGACAGCAGCGGCCAGGTCCCGCACGCAATTGCACAACTTTTCGAGAGACTTGTCAAATGCTGGGTCAGCCAAGACAGTGCGTGCACGTTCCGCTGCAAGACCTTTCGACAAAGACAGGTTGGTGGCTGTAATAGGGCCGACGACAATTATGTCATGCACGACCACAGAAACACTATCATTTCGCCGGAGATCGGGATTACTCTGTGTCTTCCTGAAAAAAACAATGAGTCATGGGTCCTACAAGTATTCCTCCAGGGAACTCACTGGAAGGATATCCGCCTGCATCCCGCTGCAGCTGCCCAGACCATCAACTCTGACACAGGATCCCGAGGTAGATCCGTCGTGAGGACTTCCAGCACATCGCTGATCACCGCTTCGACTATGACTGCCGTTTTCTCGAAGTCGAAACGGGTGTCAACTAAGACTGCTCCAACAATGCTTTCCAACACATCGCTCAGTGCTTTCGGCGGGTCGTATTTCCATCCCTTGCTGATGGTGTCCTCAGGGGAGAGAGACATAAGCAAAGGAACGTGTCTTGTGATCGCAGTACTTAGTTCAACATTGTTGATAAGCAGATGTTTGTGAAGTCCGAGCCGTCTCACAGCGACAGAGGCTAGGGTTGGCCCGCACACAGCTCGCGAGCGAGCAGCTGACAGCTGACCTGAAGTGGCTTCAGGGAACTTGTTGAACAAATACTTCATGACGACGAGGTCAATGACAGCTTAGGAGGTCATCAGTCGCTGGTTCAGAAGCGAAGCATCGGGTTTGCTCACCATCGCCCAGGAATTCTAATCGCTGATAAGATGACCCGGCAGTAGTTGCGAAAGAAGGGTGAGTGGCGGCTTCAATTAGAAGATCGCCCCGATGAAACTCGTATCCAAGATTGGCTTGAAGGTCATCGAAAAGAGGTGGTGCCGGCGATGGTTCCGGCGGACGAGAGTATCGTAGCGTCCAGGGAATGGTGCCACCTACAGTCATACCTAGGGCGTCTCCCGCACGGAGTGCCATATCTATTCCACCGTGCAGAAAGGCAGCGCCTAACGTTGCCTCCATACAGTCCTGTAAGCTTCGACGAGGGTATGCTCGACGAGCATGCCGTCTCGCAGAAGTGAAAGGCTCCATGCGATCGTCATCTTTTGCAATGGTATGGCGCCACACGTGGAGACTCTGACCCTCCGAGGTGAGGTACCTCTCGAGGCCAATCTCCAACGCCCTTGCTAGCAGAGTCCGATTGGACACGCTGTTCTGGCGCAGCTGAGACAGCTGCCCCTCGTGCCGGTGGGGGTATTTGTTCATGACATGAACGGTCGTGGCAAGTTTGAGAACAGAGTCTCCCAGCGTTTCCAAACGCTGGTTATTCCACGTTGCACTTGTCGTGGGCAAGGTCGACGCCTCAATGAGAAGCTCGTCCTTCATGGCGGGCAACCCGAGCTCAAACCGTTCTTGTTGAGCGCGGTACAGGTCCGTAGCGCGGCGGCATATGCGTGGAAGGAAGAGGAATGCGCGGTACACGTTTTCCGAGAAATATGTGCGTCGACAGGCTCCTTGAGGGACAAGCAACCCCGGGCGTGCCATGTGACGCTTATACTTGTCGATGTCCTGTAAGCGGTGCATTGGTCGATACAGACCAGAGGGATGACGTGGAATGTAAGTGGCTTCAACCAAGGGACAGTCGGTCGGAACGACCGCTTCGCGAGTCTTCCTGGTCCATCTCTGTACGAAGAATTCTTCGTAGGTGGAGCAGGAAGACTCACGGGAGCCAGGTGGTGGTACAGACAGCGCTGTCAAGTCGTATCGTATCTTGCGTAGAACCATTGCTCGTCCGAACTGATTGCAGTTCATGATCAGGGTGCGATGATAATCGTCTTCAGTTACAGACGACCAGTCGTATGTTCCTATAGGATCGCGAACAACACGTTCCACTGCGTCGAAGTCGATACAGTTGTGAGGAGTCAGTGGAACGAGAAAACAAGTGATAGGAAGAGTGATGGGCCGGCCAGTGATGCAGAACCAGATGCCCATTTTGGTATACTCGTTGAGCATCTCCAACTTCTCCCATTCCTCGTCTTCGTCAAATACAAGTTCGTCAGTGCACCGTATTGTGACAAGACAGCCTTCGCTCATGATCTCTAGCGCTGGTAACTCCGTGCCAGTGACGAGTCCTGCAACGTCAACGCCGTCGATGGAAATGACGTGCATCCTCAGCCGCGGCCCTAGAGCCCAAGGATCCCGCACCGGAACATCTATGATGTCGGGCACATCACTCACATCCAAAAGCTTTCTTCCGTCGGCATCCTCTAAGTTCCTACCCTTGGAGCCAGCTGACGGAAGAAGATAGTCGTCGAATACCCCGAGTTTGTGAAGCTCCTTGACAGCTATGAATGCTACTGCACGCCGGGCTTCTCGCTTGGAACATCGGGGTGGTCCGCGGAATATCAATTTATCGATGGGAAGAGGAAGACTGGATGGCAGCTCAAGCACAGTGGCATAGTCACCGCTGTACTTTGGATTCGGGGTGGGCGTGAATGCGTCATGGGGAATTAGGGAACAGAGATAGTTCAATAGACTGATAGCAGAACCGTATGTGAGCACAGCACCCGTCGAAGGAACTATATAACGCTCCCGTGCGGCCAAATCAATCGGATTCTCCTCTTCTACTTCACCTTCTTCCGAGTCGGAAGGCGTCGGTGAGGATGGCCGAGTAGGATTTTCTCGGCTCTGATAAACACGCTTGAGCTCGGGTTCGCTGTCAACAAAGATCTTGTAGCGATTGAGGTGTGCCATGTGACCTTCCTGCACCATGATGACGAAAGTAGACGTTTTGGTGCGTGCCCGACCACGCGATTGTACATATCCGACCATATGATGTAGCGGATCGAAACGAATAACGAGATCACAGGCCTGAGAGAAGATCAGCTAGTGCATGATAGCAAAATGAAAATGCTTACGGGAAAGTCAAGACCTTCTTCAGCAACTGACGTTGCTACAACTGTGATGCGTGCCCTTGAATGAGCATGTTGATAGATATGGAGATATTAACGCACGCAAGTTCAAAGTACCATCGCGAAAGGACTTGACAACATCCTGCTGACGTGCGAGGCCCATCCCCTTCACATTAGCGGTGGCTGCATGTTTACCACGGTGCCCATGTCCACCACCGTGGCCGACAAGCTCCGCACATCGAATACTGCCTCGAAGTTCTGGTATGCACGAAAGGATCTTTGCCAGACAGGCCGCCACCTGCCGTTGCTCCACAAATACAATTCCCTGAAAAGTCGGAGAACAATGTTCGAGTAGCACTTCTGCAAGTGCCTTGACTTTGGGTGAGCACCATGCGAGTGGTACAGTTATTGGTACGGCAGGAGGCATAGAATCATCTTCGAAGAAAGGTCGAAATTCGCAAAGGATGAAATCAATTTGTTCAAGGTCAGGAGAAATAATGATAGTAGTCTCTGACGATTCGTCGATGTCCATGACAGGGTATAGGTCGTCGTCATAATTAATGCGTGGTTTGTCCTTGATCGACGCTTCTAGGTCATTGATGATCTGGGAGATTCGTGCTTTGATATCGTGGTATAAATAGAGGTCAGCACAATAAGGACCCAGGCTGTTTCGGGTGACATGATACTTCATCTGAAGCTTCTCCCACGGAATGGCAACGTCGGAGGAGCGGAATAAGGATACACAGTCCCACAGATTAGGATGCAGGTAGATGTAATTGGTAGGCGGGGGGTAGTACTCCTTGATTATCTTTGGAACAGTTCGTCAGGTCTTGTGTTCCGGAACTATAAGGGAGTAAAATACCTCAAGGGGACGGGGGGAGTTATGAAGTAGCTCCGAGACATGCTCGCGGACTGCAATGACGATAGCGTCAAGGTTCCTCTCGAGTGTCATCAGAGATCCCTGAGCATCTTTTGGATTCCAAATGGGAGATGCAGTCATGCCAAACACCTTTGGGCGCTGGAACGACGGAGTTTGGAAATATTCCCGCATGATGCCATTGTAAGCGTGATTTTTCCTAGTGTGATGACACTCATCAAACACGAGAAGAGAAACCTGTATTGCGCGTAAGAAATATTAGTTTCAAGAGAAGGTTAGCTGAATACCTTGTCGATGCTCCAGTGCGAATGTGTGACTATGTTCAAAAATATCTGTGCTAATAACGTTACATCGGTCATCAAAGGGAAACAATGATGAAGGTACATACCAGTCATAACAACGACGTCAGACTTCTCGAAGGATGATCTCCAGTTGGCACGATCAGTAAGCTCCAGATCGAGAGATCCATGGAACTTTTTGACTCGCAAAGGAGTGTGCGCGGCGATAAAGTTGGCCTGTTGTTCGACCAGAGCTACCTTGGGTACCAGAAATACGATGACTTTGCCGCGCGCACTCTCTTGGAGCACGATCCATTTGATGAGCAGAATACTGATGAAAGTCTTTCCACTGCCGGTGTCGAGTGCTGCAATGACATTACATTCTTGAGCGCGTTGAAAAATCTCCTCTTGATATCTTCGAGGGAGAATGGTCTCGTTGACGGATTGTATGGAGGAGTCTTGAGTAATGGTCATTGTAATTGAGATGGATGATGTTGGATGTAGAGAAAGATCGGTTAAATACTCTGCATAGTATATACAGGACGAAGCTGAAGGGGACGATGGTAGAAGTCGCCTAGTAGTTGCTACTAGATGACAATAATATTGGCCGGGAGACTAGTATTATGCCTTACTTATCAATACACAAATAGTGTCAAATAAACAGCGTATCCTGCTGCGTGAGCGGCATTACTTTTCCAATCGATTTCTAACGTCCCTCTGACATTTCTCATTTATTTGCTAGACGTACGAATCCAATACAATGGGGGACGATTACCCCACACTGTTCCGTGCGCACGAGCTCGAACTGTAATAACACTTTCTTACTGACAATGTTCCAGGTTCGGAACAGATGAGCTTGATGCAATTTCTTATCCCAACTGAAGTCGCCCATGACACAGTTGCAGAGCTCGGTGAACTGGGAAATGTTCAATTTAAGGACGTGCGTGCGCTCTGTTTAGTTGTTATCATGCCACTGAATGATACTTGTAACAGTTGAATCCTGCTGTCAATCCCTTTCAACGTTCCTTTGTGGGTGAAATACGGAGAACGGAAGAGATGACACGACGTGTTCGGTTCTTCGAATCTCAGATTCAGAAGGAAAAGGATGTAGTTCCTATCCGTCCTTTATACGATTCGGCACCGTTGCTCACGGTTGGACCGAGCGCTGCTCATAATATCGACGAGCTTGATGTCACACTTGCCGAGCATGAGAAACGGCTCGTGCAGATGAATGATAGCTATAAGACGTTGAGTGAGCGCACAAGGGAGCTGGTGGAGGCCCGGCATGTTCTTCGAGAGACTGCTGTGTTCTTTGAGAAGGCAAGTTTGTTTGATCGACGGGTCCGCATACATGACATACTAACTTGCGGCATGTAGGCTGAGACCCAGCACACAGACATCAGGACTTCTTTCGATGACAGCTCCGCACCTCTTCTGCAACATGATGACCGGGAACAGCAATACTCATCCACTGTGCAGTTTGACCTTGAGTACGTCCGTGGATACCCTTACAACTATTGTACTGATGTGAAGATAGATTTATTGCTGGCACCATCGACCGTACCCGTATATCGACGTTCGAGCGCGTCTTGTGGCGTGTCCTAAGGGGTAACCTGTACATGAATCACACAGATATCACAGAGCCCTTTGTTGACCCTGCTACTGGCACTGAGACGCGCAAGAATGTGTTCATAATTTTCGCGCATGGTGACGCCCTACTTGCGAAGATACGAAAAGTGGCAGAGTCGATGGGTGCGACACTCTATCCAATTGATGCCAATGCCGATAAACGATCAGACTCTCTGCGCGAGGTCACCGCCCGCCTGGAAGACTTGGAGACTGTATTATATAACACAGGTCTCAACAGACGCAGCAAGCTGCTGAAAATTGGAGAGAATCTGGCTAGGTGGCAGGACGTCGTCCGCAAGGAGAAGGCGATTTATGAGACGATGAATCTTTTCAACTTTGATGTCAGGAGAAAGACACTTGTCGCCGAGGGTTGGGTCCCAACAAGGGATCTTACCATGATCCAACTAGCACTTCGTCACGCCACGGTAAGACAGTTGCATATTTCAGATGAACTTCTCAGTCACGCAACCAATCTCAGGAGGCGTCCGGAACGAGTGTTGTTCCCATCTTACATGAGTTGCGCACAAGCAAAACGCCACCAACCTTCACGCGTACCAACAAGTTCACCGAAGGCTTCCAGACCATCATGGACGCTTACGGTATTGCAACCTATCAAGAAGTCAACCCTGGTCTGTTTGCCATCGTCACGTTCCCTTTCCTGTTCGCCGTGATGTTTGGTGATATTGGGCACGGATTGATCATTTTCTTTGCCGCATTGTACATGATTTACCAAGAGAAGAAATGGGCTAGACAGGAACTTGATGAGGTGAGTCGTTTTTGGGGCTGGTAGACACGCAGCATTTAACTCTATTGGTTGTGTGTACCAGATCCTCGGCCAGTTCTTTTAGTAAGTTCTAACACGATTAAATCGATGCCCTCGCTAACATCGCCACCAGTGGGCGATACATCATTCTTCTCATGGGCACCTTCTCCGTCTACACCGGCCTCATGTACAACGATATCTTCTCCAAGAGTCTCCACATCTGGCACTCGGGATGGGACTTCCTTGAGCCTGGGTCGAATGGAGTTTCATACGCAGTTTCTAATGGTCATATGTATCCCTTTGGGGTGGACCCTGCCTGGCACGGTGCGGATAACGGGCTCGTGTTTACAAATTCATACAAGATGAAGATGTCCATCGTGCTTGGAGTCATTCATGTGTGTTCTCATTTCCACCGTGGGGCAGCTCGATCGTTACGCTCAAACGATCACGTTTTTTCAGATGACATTTGCCCTTTGTCTACAGCTCCCCAATCACATCAAGTTCAAACGCCCGCTTGACATTTATGCCAATTTCATTCCCCAAATGATTTTCTTGCAGTCAATTTTCGGCTATTTGGTCGTATGCATCCTTTACAAGTGGTCGATTGATTGGTCCACCCGAGACACGGAGCCTCCCTCATTGTTGAACATGCTAATTGCGATGCTCCTGTCACCAGGGAAGGTGGATGCGAATGCACAGCTATATCCTGGACAAAGTTTCATTCAGGTTGTGCTTCTTCTACTCGCGGTGGTCTGCGTGCCCTGGATGTTGTGCATGAAACCGTACTTCCAGTGGAAGGAGATACAAATGATCCAGGGTCAAGGGTACGTTGGACTTAGTCACCATAACGGTGGGCATCGTGAGAGCACGGATGAAGTTCTAGAAGGTGAGGAAGAGGGTAATGGTCGTGTCATTGTGGAGGAGATGGAGGAAGAGCACGTACGTTATTATTAACTAGCAGATAGGGATGCTATCGTTACTGATCATTATCTACAGGAACAACACGACTTCAGCGAGGTGGTAATCCATCAGATCATTCACACCATCGAATTCTGTCTTGGCTGTATCTCGCATACTGCATCTTACCTTCGGCTATGGGCCCTGTCGTTGGCACACGCTCAGCTATCCGAGGTCCTGTGGTCAATGACAATCGAGAAATTTTTGGGGATGTCCGGTATCTTCGGGACGATCATCCTCGCGATAGTGGTTGTTTTCTGGTTTTCAGCAACGGTGTTCATTCTGTGCATCATGGAGGTGCGTGTTACAAACATGCCCATCAGGCGTGGATCAGATATACTCATGCTTCCTATTCCTCGTGACATCTTCATTCGAAACAGGGTCTCTCGGCATTTTTGCACGCGCTTCGTCTGCACTGGGTCGAAGCGAACAGTAAACATTATCAAGGAGAGGGATATGTACGTGGCATTATCCCATCATTTCTATTTCGATGTGCGTGTAGTGCGCGTGCTGATGCATTTTTCTGAATCACAGTTGTTCACGCCGTTGAGCTTCGCTAAGCTAGACGAGAAGGAGTGACCCCGCATGTTACCCCATATTCCTTTCTGATGTCCTGTAGGTACGATACGGAGCAATAGGATGGTTAGATAATTCAAAGATGTGGGGTAAGGCAGTGAGAGTACGGTTCCGATTACGTACCGACCACTACGTTTGTGTAAGGTTCCAACTTCCCACCCCCTTTTGAAAATCAGATTTTTATGTGCCCTTGTAGAACCGATCCTTTCAATGAGTGATTTTTAAATCGACGACAGGCTTAGGGTTTACATTGGTCACTCGAAGTCGATTTCACCACTGCACATGAAGCAGTGGTCGCTAAGTGACCGGCACCATCGATGCCCCCACATCGCCCTTGCACAGCTCGGTGGCAGTGATGTAAGATCAGCGATCTTGCCGGTTAACCGCTTTTGTCGGCTGGCGCAAGGTGAGATAATTTAGATTATCTTGATTTTTCCAACTCCGCAAGAGCCTGTAGCCTTATATCGCAGGCACTGTTTCCTGATCGATTTTCTTCACTTGTCTCTCACTTCTTTTCTTGCTCTTCTTCATATCTCAATAGAGGTTCGTCCTCTTTCCCCCTCTCTCCCAAAGTCTTCCGTGACTGACCTCTTTTCAGGCATTTAGCCACTCAGTAGACATAGAGCACGGTTTTGTAGCTTTTGTTTGCTTAATCCCAACTTCATCACCATAGAAGAAAACTTACTTTCAACGTCTCTACTAAAGGTACGCTTGTGCTCTCGCGCTCTTGCCTTCTGTGCGCTCATGATCAGTTCAGATACTAGAAATGCCTGCTACTACTGCTACCGCTCCTGCTATTCCTTCTTCCGCCTCTCTCAAGGGCCCTGTTGACAGCCAAGTCGACGTGGCCGCCCTTTTTGTCGCTGATAAAGCTACCCGTGACGCAGCCGCAAGAGTTCTGGCTTCGGCCGTGCAAAATGATGGCCCTGCTGCCATTGCCGCTGCTGGTTTCGTTGAAGCCGCAGTCAAGGCTCTTGCCGACAAAAAATCCGCTGCTGCCCGTGAAGGTGCAGCTGATGCTGTAATCGCCCTTGCAAAAGTGGGCGCTACCAAGGCCCTTGAACCCACTTTCGTCGATTCTGGTCTCTATGCAGCTCTCATCGAGGGTTTTGCCGACAAAATGCCTGCCCCTCGTAATGCAGCCGTCGAGGCAGTTCGGGAGTTTGTAGCCTCCATGAACCCATGGGCTACCGGTCTTCTTCTTCCTGCACTTCTTCACGAAATTAAAACTGCAGGAAAATGGCAAGTGAAGACTGGCTCACTTATCGTCCTGAACCAGCTCGTTGTGTCTGCGCCCCTTCAAACCGCTCGCCTGATGCCTGACATCGTCCCTATTCTTGCTGAGGCTATCTGGGATACCAAAGCAGACGTGAAGAAGGCTGCACGCGATTCTCTTACCAAGGCTACTGCGTTGGTTTCGAACAAGGACATTGAACGCTTTATTCCAGCTCTCATTAAGGCTCTCATAAATCCTGTCGAGGAGGTACCAAATACCGTTCAGCTCCTCTCGGCTACCACATTCGTTTCCGAAGTAGACTCTGCTACCCTTTCCTTGATGGTTCCCCTTCTGTCCCGTGGTCTCCTAGAGAAGCTCACTGCTACGAAGCGTAAGGTTGCAGTGTAAGTATTAACTTCTTCATTCGTTGGACATAGATCTCATCTCGCATGTAGCATTGTCGATAACATGGCCAAGCTTGTGGACTCTCCTGTCACTGTCCGTCCATTCTTGCCCAAGCTCCTCCCTGGCTTGATCAAGGTCGAGACTACCATTGGTGACCCCGAAGCTCGTGGTGTAGTTGGCAAAGCCATTGCCACTCTTCGCCAAGTTGGCGAAGTCCCCGCTGAAAGCGATGGTACCGACCTTCCTGCACTGAAAGTTGCTGAGGCATCGCAGCTTGCATCATCCCTCGCTGCTATTTACAAGAAAGCAGGCGCTGCCACTCTCTCCACCACTGACGCTTCCGCCGTCTACGTCTCGCGCCTTGCTGCCAACCTTGTTAATGCCAAGAACTTTGATGTTCCCGAGTGGGACACACTCGCTTCTTACCTCGCTTTCCTCACCCCCACTCCTGACCCTGTTTCCATTGCAAGGGAATGGGTCGTTCGCTCTGCCAGCGAGGACACTGAGGATGATACAGTCCCTGACGATGAGGAGGAGGGTGAAGACCTGTGCAACTGCCAGTTTTCCCTTGCCTACGGTGCAAAGATTCTCTTGAACACCGCTACCCTCCGCCTCAAGCGTGGCCACCGCTACGGTCTTTGCGGTAAGAACGGTACAGGGAAGTCAACCCTCATGCGTGCTATCACCAACGGACAGGTCGAGGGTTTCCCTTCCCCTGATGAGGTTCGCACCTTCTATGTCGAGCACGACATCGATGGCAGTGAGGCCGATACGTCGGTCCTTCAGTTTATCCTATCTGATTCACGCATTCTTGCTGGCGAGACTGAAGTTATCGAGACCCTCGCTTCCGTCGGCTTCAGCGATGAGCGTCAGAAGGACGCCATTGGCAGTTTGTCCGGTGGATGGAAGATGAAGCTTGCCCTCGCCAGGGCCATGCTTTTCAAGGCTGACATTCTCCTCCTTGATGAGCCTACCAACCACTTAGATGTTGTTAACGTGGCTTGGCTCGAGAACTACCTCGTCAGCCTGAAGACCTGTACCTCCATCATCGTCTCACACGACTCTAGCTTCCTCAACAACACGATCACTGACGTTCTCCACCTTAACCGCTTCAAGGTCAAGAGATACCGCGGTAACCTTGAGGCCTTCGTCAAGGTCGTCCCTGAGGCGAAGTCTTACTACACCCTTGAGGCTGCTGAGGACTACAAGTTCAAGCTCCCAGACCCACCTTTGCTCGAGGGTGTCAAGACCAAAGAGAAGAGTTTGCTCAAGATGCGCAAGGTCGGCTTCCAGTACCCCACGCAGCCCGTCCAGCAACTATACGACATCAATCTTCAAGTCTCTCTTTCGTCTCGCGTTGCTGTTCTTGGTCCCAACGGTTCGGGCAAGTCGACACTAGTTAAGCTCCTCATTGGCGACATGGAGGCCAACAGGGGTGGTGAAATCTGGAAGCATCCCAACTTGGTCATCGGTTACGTTGCTCAGCATGCCTTCCACCATATTGACCATCATCTCGACAAGACTCCTCTCGAATATATGCTTTGGCGTTACCAGACTGGTGAGGATTTGGAAGAGATGCAGAAGGCCAATCGTCAAATTACCGAAGCCGAGGCACAAAAGATGAAAGATGGTTCCCTCTATGTTCACGAGGACTGGTTCGAAGAGGTTCATCGAAGAGATCGTCGCGCGCAAGAAATTGAAGCAGTCCTACGAGTATGAGGTTTCTTTCAAGAACATGAGCTCCTCGGAGAACGTGTGGATGCCTCGTGACGAACTCATCAAGCGTGGCTTCGAAAAGGTTTGTATTGTTCGCTCTAGCGATTGCTTAATGCTGACGATTCATCTCATTGCAGAAAGTTCTCGAGGTGGATACTCGTGAAGCCCAGCGTCTTGGTCTTTTGCGCCCTCTTGTCCGTCGGGAGATTGAGAAGCACTTTGCTGACTTCGGTCTCGAGCCCGAGTTTGTGTCGCATAACACTATGAGGGGTCTTTCTGGCGGTCAGAAAGTGAAAATTGTTCTCGGTGCTGCTACATGGCGCCGGCCTCATGTCATCTGCTTGGACGAGCCGACTAGTATGTTCGCTTACTTTTTTTGCCTTCGTTTTACTTATGTCCTACTAGACTACCTTGATCGTGAGTCACTTGCTGCGCTCATCGAGGCCTTGAAAGTCTTCGAGGGTGGTGTACTCGTTATCACCCACAACAGGGACTTCTCTGAGTCCCTCTGCCACGAAGTGTGGGCCATGCGCGATGGCCACCTCGAGGCTTCCGGCCACAACTGGGTCGAGGGTCAGGGTTCAGGTCCCCGCATTGATAAGAAGGATGGCGAGGAGGAGGTTCAGTATGATGCCATGGGCAACAAGATCGATAACAAAAAAGTAAAGAAGCTGACGTCAGCTGAACAACGCAAGGTCGGTTCACTTCCTTTGCTTCTCCGAATCGTGCTCACCATTTATTTTTCCACAGCTCAAGAAGGAGCGCATGGCTCGTAAGAAACGAGGTGAAGAAGTCACCGACGATGAGCTTTAAGTTGCCTGCTGGTCATGGTATTGTTAATATGTTCTTGTGTGCACCTCGTCATGTATTCGCATTCATGCCATCTGTTATGTCGTTACCCTCGGGCTGTTGTTTATGTACCTGTTCACTATTTTCATATAATGGATTCATGCATTTCTTTGGTTTAAGCGCGTGCACGTGCACTTGTCATGTGTGTGCACAGCTTGCAAGCTTGAACATTTGAACGTGCTTCTTGTTCGGCTCCGTTCTCCTTACGATTTAGTACGAAATGCCCTACCTTGATGAGCAAACCTTCAATTTGTACGCTAGAGACGTCGGCACACAACTCACTCCGAATGCTACTCAGAAGACGACTTTAATCGTTGCTGGCTGCTATGTTATAGTTATTGCTATTCTCTGGTGAGCTTCTACTACACCCTGCAATAGCCATTGGCCACTGTTGAGCCTTTTGTTTGCAGGCATGTCCCAGTGTTGAGTTGGATTAGTGCGTACCTCTTCATGCCATACCCTCTTGCCGCGCCCTGATATGTTCTGGGTGTATAACGCAGTATACCCTTTCAAGTACGTTCCTCTTAGAGATCCGAAAGGTTGCCAATAGGTTGATATCATTACTGTAGATTGCTTACTGTGGGCTTCCATGAGGTAAGCTCACCTCACCGCTGCTCAAGATACGAGGCCTTTAGATTAAGTTATTTTCCTAGATGAGCCATGCAATTGCTGGTATCTTGACTTGTGCTACTATCCATTCCGTCGAGCTCGATCGTTAGTTCAATGTCTTTATCTCGCCATAGAGCCTCTGCTTACTCCGTTACCATTCGGACAGCTGACGAAGGCGGCGAGACCCGCATGTCGGGCGGTATACCATGGATCACCCTTCCTGCCGGATACCTTGGGTCCTCGTTCATTGGCGCTGCTCTTATTGCTTGTGGATTTGATACCAATGCGAGCAAAATAGCTTGTATTGTTCTTGGTGTATTTTTCATCTTCACATTATGGTGGGCGCGCAAGAATTGGCTGTGAGTGCACTGCGGAGCTGCGGAAGGACAGGTACTGAACGGATCATGCAGGACATGGATACTCATTCTTGGAATGTCTGGCTTGATCGTGTTATTCTGGCTAGTGGCAGACAGCGTTGCGTTGCGCTACTTTGTGAGTTGTTCTGGACGTTTCTCGTGTTTCAAGCTAAACCCTTCGATAAGATCTTGTTTGTTGGCGTGATGTCGGATTTGTATGTGCTGTGGGACGTGATAGGCAGGTCTAACCTCAAGGCTTGCATGCGTCAGACTAATAGGTTCCTCCAGATGATACCATCGCGCGGAAAGTCAACAGCTCCGATGCATCCGCGTTCGCTCGGGTTTGTGGCTGTTTCCCATCTCAAGGTAAAACCCTCTACCTTTGATGAACCTTCGTTAATGCTTTATCAGTGTGGGGCGTCATTTGGCTTATCGTAGCCTTCGTGTATTTTGCCGCTGGCATCATAGTGGGGCTAGTTGCGTTCAAGGTTCTTATCTCCTCTTCCCTCGGTAGTATAGTGCTGACAGACGAGATATTTCAGGAGTCTACATCGGAACAGGAATCGGCTGCCGCACACTTCCTTCCTGCTCCAGGATCGAGCGGGGCCATGACATCTGTACCATTACCGGGTGTCCTCTTAATGATTGTTACGACCCTCTCGTGGAAGCTGTTATTGTGACTCTGAAAATCAGAACCACTTATCGATACCGGATATGACACTCTTGTAGCTTTTACTGTTGATTCTAGACGCAGAATGATGCTTTGTATACTTGGCTTGTTGATACTGTTTTGATCCGACCTTTTTTGATCCCAGCACTATTTTGATAACACCTGTTTTCCTGCACTGCGTGCATAGTGTGCCACACCAGCTGTTACAGCCCTCGCTGACACGATGCAGATTGACATTCACGTCGCCGAACGAACGTTTGACAAATTGCACTTCGAAACACGGGCTACAGGCTACTGCTTGATCACCCGGTGAACCCTATATATTTACAGTAGCCTTCACAAGAATACAACTCCTAGTGCCGAGATCCTAGCGGTATCCAATAGCGTCCAATGTCCAATGTCAATATTAATGTCGCCGCTAGAAATTGTCGGTCCAGAAAGGTCTAGACCCTAAGCGAAAAAGGATGCACACATTAAGTGCCTGGACACTTTGTCCCGTAGTACTTTGTAGAGTTGGGGATGTCCAACAGTACCAAACCCCGTGTCGACGATGAGGACGACGTCGATGATCTCGACGGTCAGAAGCCAACCATTCATTAACATTATGTAGATGCGCTTATAAAGGCTAGCAGATGTCCTGGATCAGTTCACTCCGGCCAAAGCCCCTGCGTCCAGTTTATCTCAACCATCGACGTCATCGCCTGCTGTGAATGAACCAACCTCATCGAAACAAGAGCCGTCTTCTTCAAATGCTGATTTTGAAGCTGATTTTGCGAAATCGCTTGCTGAAGACATGGAGGCTCTTTGGCGCGATCTTGCACAGCAGGGACTCATGTCGACAGAAGGGATGGATGGCTCGACCGACCCATCGCTCGCACAGGGAGCACCTATTACCCCGAAAACTGGCGAAAAAGATGACTTCCAATCACGCATCCGGAACACTATGAACAAGCTCAAGGAGAGCGAGTCAGGCTTGAAGTCATCGGATCCAAGCAGTTCTGCTCCTAGTGCTGATCCACTCGAGGCGCTTTTATCTCAATTGGGAGACGAGGATGAAGAAGAGATGCAGGGTGTCCTAGAAGCCATGATGGGCCAGCTTATGGGCAAGGACGTCCTATACGAGCCCTTGAAAGAACTTTCGGACAAGGTAGGCCTGTTCTTGACATAGCGAAGCCTCTCATTTTTTCCCTTCGTCATATCTACAGTTCCCGGGCTACCTCAAGGCCAATGCAACTACCTTAACGTCCGATGATAAGTCACGCTACGATGCGCAGATTATCTGCATAATGCAACTCCTGGAAATTTTTGAATCGAAAGATTACGCTGACGATGACGACAAGACGAGAATTAAAATCGTAGAGCTCATGGGAGAGGTGCGTTAACTTCAAGTCTACTTTCTTCGATATGACAATGACATCGCCTGTATAATCACAGCTTCAAAAACACGGGTCTCCCCCGGAGGAAATCATGGGCCCGTTACCCCCCGGATTGAACATGGGCGCTGATGGTATGCCGGATATGCCGGATAACTGTATTATCAGTTGAATGCATATCGGCGGAGGGACGGAATAACTTCAAGCGAATACCTGAGTTTGCCGTTGTCCACAACGAGCACGAACTTCGTGATAGTATATAACATTTGCGACAAATTTACAAGCATGCTTGGGGTATACTGAAAATAATTGCAGCGAGAACAAATATCAATCGGACTTGCGCACTGCCGTAGCATTGTAGCTCCCAGACCCTTGCCCCTGAATGAGCACACTCTATGTTGCCGTGTTATCTTCAAGCGCTGTACCTTGGTTGACTGAACTTTGCGTTGATTGTGAGGTTAAATTGATATTTGATAATGGCTCATTTGACCTGGGACTCGGGCCTCGGTAAACATGACCAATGTGAATCTCACTATACATCTTCAAACTCTGCTACAAATTCGTATCCTGTTCTTACTCCGCATTGAACGGCGGAAGCACCTGCTTCCTCTTGACGGGCCAAACCTCCTCCATGGTCTCCGCATCCCATATCCGTCCGCCGCGGACAACATACCTAATATTCCGCGTGTGACGGATATTATCCTGCAACAGGTCAAAGCCAGGCGGGAAGATGACGAGGTCTGCAAGTTTACCCCCCGAGATGGACCCGAGGCTGTCAAAGAGACCAAAAGTGATCGCGGCATCAGCCGTTGCTGCGCGAATCACCTGCGATGAGGTCAGGCCAGATCAGACTCAACAAACAACTGTGGTATAAGGAAAACGAACTTCATAGTTGCTCAGTCCGCCTGCTTTGGCGTAGAACATCTCCTGGTGGTACATGAGTCCAAGAGGCGGCTCACCATGTGCCCCGATATGAGCACGCAGCCCTCTATGTACCATATTTGCAACGGATGCAGAAACATTCCATAGTGCCATCGCTGGAACGAGAAAGTTAACCGGCTTATCACTAGGCATGAACCCATATGAAGCATACAATCGAACGGCCGGCTTGTGCTCTCTGAGACCCCTTCGAGGATGTCGTGTCGTGTGTGTGTGCGAAGTCTGATCATGAGCTACTTAAATGCACATAGTGAAAGGCTGAAGTAGAGACATACTTCGGGTCGTTCGGAATATCCTCTGTTGCCCAAAGATATTGCTCTCCGAACATGCCTCCATAATCGACGATATGCGTTGGAGTAGATCCAGTCCCGCTCATCGTGTAGAGCGTGAGGATATCATCGTACAACACAGACACAGGGATATTATGCTCGATCGTCGTCATCCCTAGTCTAATCAACAACCACTCAAGGCCTAGAGCCGAGCACTTACCATCTATAATATACGTCAAATCCCAATCATAGTTCATTCCCTGCGACCGCGATCAGCGGGCTACTCAACTGAATGAGGAAACAGAGGCACACTTACACCTTCGGGCACACACAGCATTCTCACTGAACGTGCAGCTGTTAATAACCGTTGTCTTGCAGCCCTCGTCGGCAGATTGTAGTTCTTATAGCTCCAGCTCGCATCTCCACCCTCAGCCTTGATCCTGATAAGTGCTTCACGCGCCTCGCGCATGCTTGCGATGTCCTGATGGATACTGTATTCAGATGCACCATAGATGACATTGCCGGTATGGAAGAGCCGCGGGCCAGCCATAAGTCCGGACTCGATGCGTCCGCGCTCGACGTAGCCGAGGGAGTTATGTAGACTTGGGCTGTAGGTTCGGGAATGAAATGGTCAATGAATGTGTGGAGAGAAAATCACGCACTTGTGTAGTGTGGTCACGCCGTACGCCAGGAAAGTCTGCATTTCCCATGACGTTGCTGGGTATTTGTCTTCTGTGCCACTCCAGTGTGCGTGCGAGTCGATGAAACCTGGGACGACGTACCCTACGCGTTCACGCAACATGAGCCTTTTTCCACAGATCATAGATGGAACCACCGACCGCCCTCAGCATTGATTTCAAATGCCCCCGGCAGCCCCTCACCAACACTAGGGCCGCCAACTGCTTCCACAACTCCACTCCGAATCACAACGCTCGCGTCTGACCTTAAATCCTGCGCGAGCACGCCATTCTCCATACTCAAGACAGTCGCGTTGTGAATGATGACTACATCAGCGTTGCTCTCCACCGCAATTGATTTCTGTAGGCCATCCGCTATTGACTTGCGTGCCTCCCTAGACAACCGTTGCACATCAGGGGTATAAGTAACATCCACTGCTGTGACATGCAGCAAGCCTCGGACACAGTCGATTCCGAAGTTATATGTGTCAGCCTCGATTGCGCCCGTGCATGCGGATAGGCGGGAAAGCTGGAGAGTGTGGAGGTATGGACCTAATTCGTGTAGTGGTTAGTTAGGTCACAGCGGAACACGAAAAAATTAGGAGAGAAACGAACGCACCAAGGAACCATCCAATCACACTGCCGTCACCACTAAACACGACATCGTGTCCACCGTCTCCACTCAGACGCGCCAAGTTTTTCGGTGCCTTCCCAGGCTTGGCCCACATCGCCTTCTCAGGGTCCACTGAGGAAGGGGATGCATAATATACGTGAAAGAGGCTGACAAACGCCGCACCCCCTGCTGTTTGGCTGCGTCCAGCTAGTATTGAAGATATCGAGGGCACGGATCCAGATGGCGAGAAAACGATCTCGTCAGTTCCCTTCCCCAGAGCAACCACCTCCTCGGCACCGTCACGCAATGAGACCCGAAGTACACTGTCAGATTGCTGAACGAGGACTTCATTAGACTTGCCATCCACGAACGATAGCTTGACGACATCAGAAGGGTCGATACTACTTTGGACGTAGCGCAAGTTAGTCAGTTCGACCGTGCCTTGGGAGCATGAATGGGACGGAAGCGTGATCTCTCCAACCCAGACTCCAGTTTGCGCAGTAGTCACCACGTCACCAGTCAACACATCTCCGCCCGTCTTCACTAGCACAACTGTCCGCGCGCCGTTTGCCGCAGATCTGCTTACGACAGCACCAAACCACCGCCCCTTAGGAAGTCCAACGACCTCCCATACTTGCCTATTTTCCAGATCTGCCAGCTCAAGGGATGAGAAATGTGTATTATCCCAGCGTGCGTGCAAAATGAATGAAGACGCAGGAACGAAGGAAGGTGAGTAGTATCCTGCAGAGGCGTGTAGGTGCGGAATGCGCTGGGCAGGCTTCGAAGTCTCAACGAAGTTGGCATCATCGATGGGGTCCAAGGTAGTCGGATTGATGAGGGAGTCTCCAAGCACCTGCACCCATGTCTGGCCTGCGCCTGCAAATACTGCATGCTCGCCAGATTCGTCCAGCGCAAGCTGGGTGAAGGCACGCAGGCGCTGTGGGCCTGATTCGAACTTGCGTACATCAGTCTTCATACGCCGAGTTTCCGCGAGCTTCTTCGAGATCTGCGCTGTGAACGGGATCACCTTTGGCGTAAGGTTTATGTTGTTAGTGGCTGTGGCCGCAGCGATGAGTTCCCCCTCTGAGTTATACGCCAATGGGACATGCCAGATCTGCCCAGCAGCCCAGATGATGATACCCGGCGAGGACGAAGAGGGCGTGAATGCAAAGGATGGGTATGTACCCATCGGCGCGTAGATTGTGGAGAGGTCGTAGGTGAGCCCATGCCAGATATGATGCAGAGTGCCCGTATTAAGATCCCTGTCGAAGGAATGTCAGTTACAGTACACGTATACACGGATATATCGATGCAAGAACTATGGTGATTAAGAACACTGGAGAGATTACACGAACTCTGAAGGAACATCATAAGCAAATCACCACTCACTTGAGTACGAGTGCTTCCTTATCCCTCACACGGCGCACGAATGCAAGTGTGCGTCCATCACGCGAGAGTATAGGCCGGCTTGCACCACCAGGGAAGGCGTCAACGAGTGTCTTTTCCATACCCGTCGTCAAGTTGCGCTGGAAGATCGCGTAGATACCCCGATGGACATCTGCATGTACATGAGAAACAAGTACATAGCGCGTTGATGAAACAGCGAATGCTAACGCACCTTTGGAATACGAGTAACTGCCACCTACATCCCTCACATTACCAGCATAAATCAGCGCATCATCGCCCGTCCATATGAACTGTTCGTGTCCGATCTGTTGCTCCACGTAGTCCTCCTTTGTCCACCCCACAGGTAGTTTCTTTGACACCACACGCTTTCCGGCGCCTGCCTCGACCTGTGACCGGGCGTGGACAGTGGGAACAGGGAACTCCCATCCTTCGCCAGCTCCAAGAGAGCGTGAAGAGTAGTACCATTTTGTTGCGACAACCTTATCCCCTGAAGGATGCCAGCGCGGGTCAGACACCCAGTTGTACGTCTCATTCGTAATGCGCTGCGCTATACTTTCATGAGCATCCCCCGCCTTGACAGAGAAGTAATTGATATTACTCACCATTCACCCTTGCCTCCCTTATCAATCTCCTTAGTTTCCTCTCGTCCGTCTCCTTTATACCTCGTGCAAGTTGCTCCTCTTCATGGATCTTCAGCTCGAGGTCACGCGGTGAGCTGACATGCGCACGCACGTCCATGGCCGTGCACCCGTCCGGCGCCCAGGGCATTACCCACAGATTGTCAGCACCGAGCCCCGCGTCGCTTTTGAATGCAAGCCTATCGCCTGCAGGTGAAAACCGCGGATCCGCATCGTGTGGGACACCCGTGAGGACTGGTACCGCTTCTGTTCTCCCTCCTACTCTTCCAGCAGCTCCTAAATACGCGTCACCCGGTAGGCAATATACGTCCCCCGCCATGTCAAATACGATATCCCCACTCACGGGGTGCACGTCGAGTCGCAACCATGTACCTTCTGTTACCTCATAGGACAGTGTGCGAGGGTAGGGGAAGTCCACAGATATGTCCCAGGGTTCATGTGCACGCAGAGGGAAATCGTCGTCTGCAAACTCGGATGCGGGATCATCCAACAAGGCCCCAGAGTACTCGGTAAGGCCCAGAAGGTGGCGTATGGGGAGGGCAAAATGATTAACCCATGTTGCAAGGCAGAGACATATAACTACTTTCAGAACTGCTCGTTGTAGCCGATGATTTCTCGTTTGGCGAGTCGTATAGTACGTTGGAACCCCTTTCGTGGTTGTTAGAGAAGGTTTCTCCGAGTTTGAATCGCCGAACTCGAAAACCATTTTCACCTACTCAGAACCAGTGTCTGAGTGAGCTAACGAGCTTGGAATAAGATTAGTGGGAATTATATATGGGCGCTTATAATGATGAGGCACTTCCGGAATAACGTCAACCTGTGGACGCGGAGTACCGTATGCACACAAACTTGAACTGACATGAGAAAAAAAAAGTCATTCGCGAATTCAATTCAGTCATGTTCATGTATGGCAGTAACGTAGATAGAATGGACCTCTGATGAACCAAAAAGAAATCAGGGACTAAGACTTTGTTAACGCACGAATAAAAATACAACTTATGAAGCCGCCTCTTCTTCTGTTGCCTCGGCAGGAGGAGCAGTTTCCTCTTGTACAGGCTCGTCCACCCCCTCGGATTCTTTCTCTTCAACCTTCTCTTCAGCTTTCTCCTCAGTTTTCTCTCCCACCTTTTCTCCAGATTTCTCACCCTCCTCATCTTCCTCACCCTCCTCCTTGGCACCTTTGCTGCCAATGACAGTGGCGTTGATTCTGGCGAGTGAGAGATTACCCAGGGATCTGCCAAAACTCGCCGGCAGAACTCACGTTAACATCACATGCACTGCTTCTCCCTCCTCCTCTCCCTCCAACTTGGGCAATTTCACAGTCAGCCGCTTGCTCCCCTTCCATCCAAAGCTCCCAGTAGAAAAGCCCGACGAAACGAGCTCTATAGCCTCCAAGAACCCAGGATCCGTCGACTCGACGTCAGTAGGAGGCCTAGTGTGTGAAATGTTAACATGCAAGGGTTGCGCCCGCGACTTGAACGCAGTGGCACTCAGCCCCGTCTACTCATACTACACATTCAGAATTAGGGGCTGAGGGATGCGGGGGCACAGACCTTCAATCGGGCTGCGCCCTTCTTCCCGGTGCTCTTAGCGCTCTTTCGAGCCTCTGTTCTGGGCACCTTGGCACTGCGTGTCTCGCGCTTTCTCGGTGGCGGACTCTTCTGCAGCTCGTTTTCTTCCTGCGGGTACATTATATAGGAGCTGTTGGATGCATGAATTAAAGAAGTTAAACTCACCAGCCATAGTAATAGAACGGGAGATGATGTGGAATGGGTGTCAGAAGTCAAGAACGATGCGCTTGAAATTGTGGATCCCGAATCGTCGCGTCTGTTTATATCGTTGTCAACCGTCAATAAATACCACAGGTGGGCGCAAGGTGGACGTGTGACGTCACGCGCTTCGTCACGTCCCTTTGATGCGCTTTGACCAGGTGCCACAGTTGCCAGCCTGCCACAGCTCATAAACGTCTTGCAACGTTGACACTTTGTTGACACAGTCGAAGAGCATGCTGTACAGAGCACTGAGAGCACTGAAATCTGAGACACTGCACCACACAAGAAATGCATTGATCAAACGAACAATAGGATACAACTACATAGGTTGAAACTACTCATCGGCGAACAACAGGATGACCCCACTCGCATATAGTAGTTCATACGCTCTAAGAACCGTTTACCTGAAATAAATATTGTCAGAAAATTCTATGAAATGTGCGGAGGAGCGAACCTTTAGACCAAGTACTGGCGTGTAACAATTGAACTGTGACCGAATGCAGAAACTCGCGCAATACCGGTCTCGCTGTTCTCCCCTGACTTCCCTGCCCCTGCCCCCGCCCCGCCCGACGTGCTATTAGTGGACGGGGCTCCGAAGAGCCAACCATAACGTCAGATATCATCATCATCGCTGTAGAACTCGTCTTCCTCTTCATCAAGGGCCGCTAGGTTTGTCAGGTCGACCTTGTAGCGAAGCAAGCCGCCTATTCCACCGAAGCCCTTTACGAATTGTGCGCCCTCCTGCGACCGATTGGTCACAAACTCAAGGTTTGCTCCAAACTCCTTGTACTTCTCGGCAAACCATTCAAGGAGAGACTGTGGATCAGTAGCATGTTCCATTTCCAGACCAGTGGATTTATCCAAAAATCTCTCGCGATCTTTTTCCTGCTCTTTGTTTGCGTGGATGATAATTTCCTCTGACATTATTCCATGAGTCATCCGGGATCTGCAATGACGACAAGCGTCTTACCTCCTGCAGCATTGCGGAATACATAACGTGTGATGTCCAGGTTCTCCCACACAATCAGGGTCTCGACCGCGCCTAGATCAAGCGCTTTCAACGTGTCATCAATACCAAAACAGTACTTGTTCGTGTCTTGGCTGATTTCGTCGAAATACTTCTGGATGAGCCTCTTCTCCTGCACGAACTTCACATTTGCCAGCGCATCCGCTGCAAGTTCGATAGCCTACGTCTCAATCTTAGTCATAATATAAAAGTACAAGAATGCTTAAACCGACCTGATTGAAACCATTCTCACCGCCGTAACTCACATCCACAACTTTGATCACCTTTGCGCCCAAGCGTGGGTCAAACATGTCGCTTTGACTGAGTTCTGTCTTAAAGTCGGCGCTTCCTGCCAGAACGAGTCCAGTTACATTGACTTTGTCGTTTGTAATGAAGTGCTGGACAGCATGCTCGGCGACTTTTCGAACGTAATTGTGGCGCTTTTCGTCACGTAGACGGGAGAAACGTAGCGCAGACTGACCACCACGGCCATGCTTCTTAGGAAGATCGACGGTGAATTTATGTACGATATCACGAGTGTTGCCTGAGAGGGTACCGAAGAGGGTTCCATTACCATCCATGACGATGAAACCAAAACGAGAGTCGGACTCGAGAAGCTCGGATAGGGCCTCAGTGTGGAATTTGTTATCACAGAGGTAAAGCGACCTGTTTCATGCATAAGATCAAGGTCATGCATCCGATGAGATACTTACGTATTGATCGGTTTGTGAGGTTCAAAGTCGAATGACACCTTCTTCTCCTTACCTTCGTCGGTGAGGATGGTGCCCACGAAAAGTACGAGACCGTTTGGCGGGACTCGGTTGTACAGCTTGAGGCGCTGCTGGGTACTGGTGATAGCTGCAAGAACAGACAATCTGTTCACCCGCGACTTGATGTTACTCGCGGTACCGTATTCCTGCGTCAACATGGCTGAGGCACGAGAAATTTGATCCTGTAACAAGTAGACTGAAATGAGCAAGATGGTAAAAGGCCCTGGCTAAGATCGGCGCACTTTGGGAGGAATGATCAAGCTGATCATGGATGTCCCCGCTCTGTAAAGCACGCGATCAGCTTCCATCGCTGTTGTTTTACTGAAAATATGAAGATATACCCGCGTGCCGAATCCAAGCTCTTGATGAGTTTCTTTACTTTCCACATCTGAATGTTTTGCTCTGCGACATCTTGACTCATGATGGGCAGATCTTTCTTCTGAACGTTTTGATTTTCTGTTGATGAAAATGTGAGTGGGACGCCTTGGATGTCCCGTACGTTCAAATTGACGCTTATGTATGGAGGACAAACTTTTTCACCGGGCGGTGGCGGATTTAGGGTAGGCTGCCTCAAGGCTGCTTTCCAATACGATGACTTCGCCAAATACTTGCACTTCCAGTATTCTGACTCAATTCATTCACCAACCGAGTCTTTATGACGTTTACTGGCGCTATTTAGTCATATAGTTCTGCAACTGGTCTGCTCGGAAGCGAACCGCCACTTATCTCAAAGCTTGTCTTACCGCATCATGAGCAACTCAGCCGGAAAGCGCAAGTCAATTGGCCCTCCTACCAATGACCAGAAAAGAGTCAAGTTACCAAGCGGAGCTGTTGCCAAGGCCAATCCGAAACAGAGCAAAAAGGACAAGGAGACTAGTAGTGGGCAATCGGAGCCATCGACGACCAAGAACCCTACAGCCACATCGCCATCAACAGCTCCCAAAAACCGTCCCAGAATTCGGAAACTCGCGCCCCCACGGCCATTCCCAACAGTCGCACCGTCCGCACCTGCCACAGCACCGCGTTCCTTGCATACCGAAGGCAAGAATAACATCTGTATCACGCGGCGTACCAAGCTAGCCGCTTACCTGCGCCGATGCAAGGCTCTGATCCTCGAAGATGGATTTAAAGAGATTCGATTGAGCGCAATGGGTGCTGCTATCCCGCATCTTGCGCTTTTGGCTGTTTCTCTGCCTCACATAGTGCCGGGCGAATTGAACGTTGAAGTGCAGACGGGTAGCGTGGACGTTATCGACCAGATGCTTGAAGGAAGCGAGGATGAAGATAGTGGTGAGAATGACGAGGAATTTAAAACAAGGGTCAAGTCGACAATGAACGTCGTTATTCGCGTAGGAGGTTCGGGGGACCCCAAGGTGTCAAGCAATCCCGCGAAAGGACCAGTGACAGACTCTAGTCAAAGCGATGGGAATGTTCAGCAACCGGATCAACCGGAGCAGATTGTTCTTCAGGAGCCTGAACAAGAAGACATGGACCAGTCGTAGCAGGAATCACAGTAGGAAGCTATCACTCCATTGTGCTGGTCACTGCTCATGAGTGTCATAGCAACTTTTCGCATCCGTCTGAAGACGCATGGGTGTTACCTGGCTAGATCTTACCATGTAACGCGCGCCTTCGGAACAAACCGCCCCAGATTGTGTTGGGATTTAGGGATGGAATACGTTAACGTAACGCACGGAGCAATACGCCGTTTTACGATATCGCCCCCACCGTATGTATTCATCACTGCAATGTTAACAGCGCTCATACACCGGTGAGCTCGCGTGATATGTACTGGAACTTTCATTTTCTATTGTCTCACACTTCAATAAACCTAACGCACATGGTTGCATTTCCGTCTTGCTCTGGTAACGTGTTGCTGTCGACTTCTCACTGGTCCTAATGAACGTGAAATCGATACATCGGTCACTCTATGCCGCCGGTTCTAATCACCAATTTGACCTAGAGAAGTTACTGCAGATGGATTGCAACTTGCGGCACGGGACTTCTGAACTGAACCTACTGAACCCTCGCTGTGCGTGCCCCTATCCTAACCCTATTTATCAATTGATCTCCAGGATCAGTAAATGAATGTATAGCGCATAACCTCACTACACCCCCAATCCGTTTTTAGAGCCTTCAGTTGGCCTATAATACCCGCCAGCAGGAGCTAAAGTTACACAAGCAACACGTGTATCTCTATTATAGACGCTATACCCTGACGGAAATCAACGAGGCCTCAACCGATTTGAACGAAAAATGCTAAAATTTCTACCGGTGGCCATACATGATAGCGGATGACCACTGCTTCGGTGAGAAATATCTTTTTGTATTTGATGACGGGTCACTTGTTGTTCTTTTCGCAGCATAAGGGTCATCATCAGACAATACAAAGAGTCATTTATGACATCATTGCCACAAGGACTGCTAGGTTCTACTCACCGGGATTATCCAGGGCTGGCCCTTGCTGGACGCGAATGACAGCATGATTGTCAAGCATTCGATGCACTAAGATCCGGTGGCCAACTACTCGGACAACAAAAAAGGGTTCACCGACGCTAACGGGGACTTTATGATGAGGTTGGTGCATTTTGATTTACATTACATGAGCAGAGTGATGACCACTTCGTCTCGCAAGCCCGAAGCTACTAGTCAAGGCAAGTATGGCAGGGGAACGTTAACTTCTGATAAATTTGATGGCCTTCGCGAAATGAGGCAACTGCCGGTATGACGCTGTGCTAACCAACAATGATCATGAGGGGAAGTTGGGAAAATGCAGACTACCCTATCCTGTCGAGCTTCGCTTCACCTCGCGCCCCACTAGCCGCGACTTCGCGCTTACAATACCTAAAAATAACAGTACATCCTGACATATAAATAGGATACAAGCATAGGTCATCATGCATCATGATGCGCTAAGGGTTTTATAGGGTCAATTCAGTTCGTTTCAAGTAAAGTTTAAGTTGTGACGTCGTGTCGTTCGAAGCCTCCTCCCTTTGATCAAATGAGCTTCCTGCGAGGTAGTTAGATCGCTGCAAAGCACATCAGAGCGAGAACTTGGCTCAGATCACATACAGTATCGCAGTGTCTGGGGGTTTCTTGGCCTAAACTAGTCGCCCTGTCGACAGCCTTCTCGACCCATCGCGCCACAGCCTACACTAGGTAGCGGAATTGCGTTATATACAGATCAGTGCGACTGCGACGGTTGAATCGGGGAAAAGTTCTTCACTAAACTTACAACACGATGAATATTTCACCGGTGAACGAGATAGCGGGTGGGCGGTAATGAAGAACACGCCACCATGAGTGCCGTACATACTGGTGATTCGCTGGGAAGGCGGCTGGCCTCTAGTGAGATAGGGGTTATACGAGAATTTAGGCAACGTTTGTACGTAATATTTTTCTGTTTGATTGAACGTCGTGGCCAGCCCTTCTCGCAACTCACCAAGTCAGCCCCGCCGGTACCGGTCGTGTTGGGAATTACACCCAGCGATACAGGAGGGAATACATTTACGCAGACCCATGTCTAGGTACAGGTACAGTTGACACGCAATACCCTACGACCCTATGATCAAGCCTGAGGTCGGCAACTGCCAGAGCAGCACTTCTCCCCCAAAGTGGAAATCCAGAGAACAAATTGAACACGGGAAAAAAATTTCGTCTTCCTGATGACGGTTGCTATTATATCAAGGTGCGCATTGCAAATATGCACGCATGGTAGGTGGACGGGAAAAATGCTTTCGCTGCTTTTTCAGAGTCAAATTTATCACGGTGAGTTCAGCCTGAATGCTCATGCAACAGAATGGTGACTCCAAGTGACAAGATGTGGACACTTGAGTTGGCCCGCCTTCTTCAATTATCTGCGCGGAAAATTTGTGCTGTGCGGATGGCCATGCCAGCGCAAGCGAGAAGCACTGGAAGAGGTGAGACTGTGCAGGTCACAATGAAAAGATCGTTGAACTTTGATTGTTGTTGAGCCATTGAATAGATGAACAAGCTTCCAAATGGTACAGAATATTCAAGAAAGCTAAACTCACGAAGAAAAAACTAAGAAAAGAGGGTGTAGCATACGCAACGCAGATTCGTGTCACCGATCAATCTCCAACTATCGCAGCGCCTCAAGTCTCTCAGTGAATGAAGAGCTCAACCCCATGCTAACCCCCAGCCACGATCTCTCCATCTCGCTTTCTGCAACACGTGGAATTCCATGTGCCTCCCGATCAGACAGGCAGTCGTACGAGTGTGACGGCGAGAGCGAAGACGACGAAGTGGGGGACCATACATTGCCAAACTCATCGGCAAGCTCCGACGCTGTGCGAAGGATAATATTTGGCGAGGGAGCCCATGATTGGGTAGGAGACGCAACCCGCGCAAATGATGACGAAAAGTCCAGCGTTGGCAGAACGAAGTTCTCATGTATGTCGGGAGAGGGCGATAACCCGAGCCCGTAGTCCCAATCATCCGAATCAAGTTCGATGTCTGAACTGACATCAGCATCGTTGTCGCAGTCCAGTTCTGACAAGGATGCTAGATCGAGCTCGATACTGGAAGCAATCGATTGAGGACTTGATAAGACTTCTTCCTCGTCGATGGAACTCGTCTGCGAGGAAGCAGACATGGCATCTGAGTAAACTTCTTCGAGAGCACACCATCCTTGTCCGCTATCTCCGGTGACGCTGCGCACTTGGGCAGCTGTCCAACCTGCAAATGTGACCCGCAGTATCGTGCACTGTTTATCGCTTGGATTATCTCCTAAATTGGAACCAAAGGCATAGGCATCAACGCCGACGCCAGGGTCATCCCACACGTTCGCAGCATCCAATCGGGAAAAAAGAGTGGACACGCGAAGTGAATGGTTACGATGCGTCTTATGCGCAGCAGCAATTTCAGGTACAGGAAGAAGCGGATGAAATGAGCTAGTTCCCACGGCGGAATGTGCAGCAGACAGGGGCAGACGAGAGGTGGGAGTAGGAGCGATAGGAACGAGCAAATAAGTCGTTACTTCCGGCAAAGCAGGTTGTGGCATGTAATGATCAAGTTCAGAGATGTCGATTTCGGCGGGGACTTGAGCAACAATGGGCTTCTGCTTCGGCTTGAGCATCTCCTTGGTCTTTGGGGGTGCCACATTTTCCTTAGCTTTGCGGAATTTGCGCTCCTCCTTCTTCTTCGCCTTGAGTTCCCATTCAGCCTCCCAAAGTGCACGGGTAGTAATGGGAACGTTATCCACGAGATTCTGGAATATGGGGCGCGCAGAATGGAATGAACGAGCAGTGCCAAGACCAACAGTAGCTACGTTCCCGGGGATGGGAGTCGGACGAGGAAGGCGTGGTAAAGATAAGGGGCGGTAAAGAGCATTTCTCACAGGGAGCGAGTACGATGCTTTAACGCTCTGAGCACTGGAATGGAAATGAGCAGGACGGACAAGCGAGTGGCTCGGAGCGACTGCAACTGAATGCGCAAGTCCTGGTGTAGTTAAATGAGCAAAGAATCTGGAGACGAGGTTACGGGAGTTTGTGAAAATTCGTTGAGCAGTGGACGGATGGGGCGTTCGTAGTGGTGGAATGAACGCAGAGCTGTGAAGTGACCGAGCAGAACCAGTCACAGGGGCATGGTGTTTGGTTCCGCTGATACCTTGCCTCAGGTGACGAGTGCCGTGCGAGACGGCAGACATGGTGAAGCGCACTGATCGGTTAGTGGTGTTTAGAGCTAGTCAATGTCAACGTTGCAGGTTAAGCCTTTCCTAATAGTGTGAAGCAGTGCTTGCTGTTATAAATTAATTCAAGTGCCGGACGAACACGCGTTTGCTGAGTAAGTAACTCGGGAGTCGGCATCGCTTACGGTAATGATCGATCACGTGGTCGTTATCTTCTTGACGCGACCATGATGAACGCACAACAGCCTACCGTACCATCAGCCTTACTTCCCGAGATTCTCGAGTTTTCACCCCAACTCCTCCTCGATGACATTATAAACTACGCAAATGAAGCAATAACAAATACTGCGGATGCCTTAGAGGGCTTCCTGTTTCGCTGGGCGTCTGAGCGAGAACAAAGAGTGAAAGAGGATTGGGATAGCACACAAGAGGTAGAACAGGGCCTTGTCGCTTTCCAAACGCTTCTGGAATCCCACACGGACATTGCCTTTGACTTTTTCGAGACATGGTCACTTCGCAACATATTCGCCATTCCTGCCGATCTTCCCGTCGTCGTCCCTCACCAAGAGAACCTCGATCTCGATTGCCCTCCAGAACGTGAAACAGAGCTCATGACAGAGATAGACGAGTTGCGAAGAAAACTAGATGCTGTACGTTTCCAACCTTGTCATCGAACCCCGCCTGTTCTAATGGCGTGCAGCAACGTCGCTTGAAGCGTTTGTTGACACGTGCAGTCCGCTTGTCTTCAGCCAAATGCCGTCGTTCTGAATCTCGCCTGGAAAAGCTCTCTTTTCTTCAAGCACCCCAAGCTTCTGAACTGATGAGCCTTCCAGAGCAGTATCGCTCGATGTTCTCTGCGGTATCGTCCCTTCCGCCTCTTACGCCTGAAGCCGTCGCTGCCTTTTCGCAATCGCTGTTGGCAGACCCTGGCAAACGGCCATGGGAAGTCAGTAAGATGGGTTATCTCGACTGGGCCAGCAAGCAGGTACTTGCTAGAGCACAGCAATCTGGTGGTGGTGCTGGTAGCTCGACAGTAGGATCGCTGGTGGAATCCACTGCTGCGGTATCGAAAACTGAAGATCTCAGGCGATTTATGGAAGTAAGCTCTGCCCTGGAGAATGCTTGATCGCCGGGGCAAGCGGACCGTGATACCATTGCGGGTCAAAATTTGTAGTGGG